GTCATTGAGACTGCTGCGTAAAAGCACATCTTTAATATTTGTGTAAGCAAGACATAATTAATGATTAATCATTGGGGATTAACGTTCCAAAACCACAATATGATTATGAGAGATGCCGTAGTGGAAGGCTTCAGAAATTTTATACACCTGAAGTTCTTTAACATGCACCTAAATCCAAGCACACAGACCTCAGGCGAACCGGTATGAATAGAATCGGTTGCGCACAATGCTTCCAACTGAGCCAAAGCATCAGTACTTTTGTGGAAGGGGGAGAGTGGAATGAAAGAGAGGTGGAGAAAAGGATGAAGAGGAAAGGAACACGCGCGCCCTGCATGCTCCTCAACGATTCTGAGATCCCGGCTCCTGTTCGCATGCAGTTGCCGCATGCTGACAATCCATTAAAAATACAGCCAACTGTTTAAAAATATGGGGAATTAACTGTTCATCAGAAATGAAGTCCCATCTTCTGAGTAGAATTACTAAGTTCTGTTGGTTGTACCGATTTTCGTTCAGTATTACTCTAAAACACTGTGAGCAGTATGTATTGCTAATACAATAAAAATGTGAAATATCGGCAAGCACCAAGCATTATGCTTAAAATGCTGTGCAGTGTACAACCAGCGCAAACAGGATTTTGACGCGTACCTTCAAGCAACAATGTACATTCTGCCAAGATTCTGAGAAAAGTCAGGCATAGTGAAAAACACACACAAAAATGATTATTTTAAATACCGTCAACAGATCCTTGTACTGCTGGCACTTTCATGCACATGAAGTAAGCAGTTCATTGTGTATGTCACGTCAACATTTTTACTCTTTGTAAAACGACACACAAGATGTATAACTGCGATGGGTTACCACTGATACAACATATATGAACATTATATATTTAACTTACTCCCTAGCTAATTTGTGTTTTCTATGATTGCAAAGGCACAAACTAGGTCAAATATCGATTTCCTCGAAAACTGACAGCAAGATTACAAGTCCACCACTTTCATAAATTTCCACAGGGTATTTACATGTCTTGGATGAGCAGTGTAAGAAATAAATCACTTCAACATGCAAAGATGTTATTGTATATAAGTATGGAGTGTGCCGGTCAAAAAGCTAAAATATTTGCATAATAAGAAGCAGTGAATCAGTATCATACACTGTTTGAAACCATTCTGCATGGTGTGATGCATACCATCAGCATCATAGACAGCGTTTTTTTATGACACTGAAGCATGTTTGTAGTGACAACAAGTACCATTGAATGACAGACATTTCAATAATAGTCACTATAGTCTACATGTTGTAGTACAAACACAATAGCTGCGACGGCGACATTGCATGCAAACTTTTGCAGCATAGCGAGCAGCCTTCTAGACACATTACTGCCATCTTTAAGCTGGCTTTCCTGCAAAACCTCTTGCTCCAAAATTGCCTTTTTTCCGCTAAACATGTTCCCCCCTTTGCGTTGCAGTGAAGGTGTGCGAGCACCATTACAGCTTTTTTCGATGATTGTTCAGATTTAATGTCCCCATACCACAGTACGAGGGTCACCATAAAAGGCTCCCAAAATTATGACCAATTAGTGTTCTTTATGGGAACGACGACCGCGAGTGTGCCGATTGTGGAAAGACGAGGACAACGACGATCGCGGGTGCGCTCGTGCCACGCGGCAGCCACTGGAAGCAGGCAGTTGCGGCCCAGCTTTCGGTGAGTAAACATGCTTTCTGTCAAGTCTCTGCCTCTTCCCTGAGGAGTTCTCTGTGCTGCAGCCTCGAACCCCTACATCTTTTAGTAAGCACCTAAATTTCGGTACAAAGGTCTCTAGCATTTCAGTTCCATGGAAACGAAGCCAAGATTCGTTCCTGCTACCTTTGTATCAGCAGTCGAGCACCATAGCGTCTGGGCTACCGTGGCAAGTACCAAGGCTTTCCAGAACACACTACAGAAATGTCATGCCCGATTGTGAAGTGGCCTCTTGTACAGAGAGAAAAATAAACAAAAAAATAAATGAAATATGGGGATGAGCGGTAGATGTAAAAAATTGTATGCTAGCCTGGAGTCCAGGCTGTGTGCATGTGGAACACACATCTACTTTGCAAGCTGTCAACTTATGCAAGTTTCTCGGAGGATATATCGAGAAACAACAGTCAGTGAAGGTTAGTTTGTGGTCACAAGTAAGCGACCACACAACACTGTGGCGCAGCGACAATAGGCTGTAGTAAGGATATAGACCTGCTGAGCTGTTCCTTCAGAATGGTTCTGCACCAGAAGTGGAGTCGGGCCATCTTTGCAGCCGTTCGTTGCCGGCTCCATGCTGTCGTCGTTTCGAGTGTTGATCACTTCACCCTGCCACAAAAAATGGGTGCATATGCAAATACGAGCCAGGTGCGTTCAGTACAATATGCAAACGCCAAACACAGTTCTGGAGTTGTGTCAAAAACCGAGATGTTCGGTTGCAAGATGTAATGGAAGACTTAATTTTCACCACCTGGGGTTCTTATATAAATTTTTCTTTTTTTTTATCCAAGCATGTGTGTGTGTTGGTGAATTTCGCACCAATTGAAAAGCGGCCGGGAGTCGAACCCGCACCTTTCGCAGCGCGAGACAACTAAGCTGCTACGCTGAGCCTGAATCAAAAGTTCGGACTTAGTTCGTTAATTAAGCACGCTAAGCAGTCACTGCACGAGCTAGAGCTCGCGTAACTGTTTCTAGGACACGCCAGAATAACGGGTGTGTCGTTAACAATGAGCTAGCTTTAGTCGTGTCGCGCGCTAAAGCTTGCATAACTATTTCTACGAAACCTCTAGAATAACGGTTGTCTTGTAAGGTTCAGCTAGTTTTAGAGCAATACCTACGATGGTTAATGCTGCTCCAACGATCGAGGCTGCACTCATTTTATTTTTTCTTACTCTCGCGCGAGCTTCAAATGAACTTTGACATCGTCCGGGCGACCACGAAAACTGGAGGCTGCGGCACGATTCGGTCAAGCTGCCGATGTGTCATAGAGGCAATCACATTACGTAAGCCAGCATTTTTTTTACCCACTCAACCAACGCGTGTCCAAATGAGACATGTTTACAGTGAGCTTCTAGTGTGCAAACGGAAGCGAACCGCGGTGACGTTGCAAAGACGAAAAACATTAAACATGTACTACGAAGCGAGGAGACGAGCAACAATGCTAGTTTTTTTTCGCGAGTTCGTAGCACACAGCGTCTTCCTCGTCGCATCATTAAAAGCGTGCGAGCGATAGAAACCGCGCCACAGCGGCAAACCGCTGAGGACGCATATCATCATGTTTACAAACCGATTACACATCTCGATATCTCCACTTTGAGGAAATGCATCGTATCTTACGCACGCCGATCCCGGCAAAGACGGCGAAGGCTTGCGAAGAATGTTAATGACTGCACCTTTTTTATATGAGCAACGCGAACACTTCCATTACGCACCGACAAACGATTTCCCAGCGCGCGTCAGCTTTACAAAAGCGTCGCACTGCAACACTGCCGTGGTAGGCAAACGCCGACAAGAGGCGCTCGCGCGGTCAACTCGGCACTGTAAAATGCGGGGGGTCTCGGTACAACAGGGCAACGTTCGTAACGGCACACACGAGTAATTTAACAGGGGCCGGCTTGTGGGAGTTGAACACATCCAGGGCGCGAAAGCTGGGCTCTTGGTTCAGGCTTTAGGCTGGGTGCAAAGCGTTTCGCGCTCTCGCTGGCTCGTTTTCTCGGGTGAAGCGAAACCCTTGGATATGCTTCAAACATTGCCGCTAAGCCTAAGCGTTGGGCGCGCTTTGCGAAGCGGCGGCGTTTGACTGGGCTCCACATCCGCTGCACTTTTACACTTTTTTTTTTTTTTGCCTTTAGAGACCGGAGAGAGTCGACGCGGCATAAGACCCGTTGGCAACACCACGCACACACCTGCACGGTCGTGCCGTAGTCGCGAGACCCGCAGGCGACGCGTACATCCAAGCCCCCGGAAACGCGGACGCGCGGAATAAAACTGGCACGACTAGGGAGGGCTACTGCACAAGCGCTCCCGATCACTTTGGTTTGGCGCCGCCGGTTCGAGAGCGCCGGATATCTCTACGCACGCGCGCGGCGGGGACACCGCACGCGGAAAAAGGGACACTTACCGCACACTTGGAACGCGTAGACGGTATCGAAATGACGCTTTCAGAGGCCCACCGGCAGCGCAGCCGTGTTCCAGAGCGCCGGAGCCCGGTTATCCGTCATGTCGGCCATGTTTAGGAGAGCGGCGGCGGTGGCGGCTATGTTTGCGGGAGAAGCCGGTTCTCCTCATTCAACGCGTCGCTTGCGCCACGCCAGGGCGTGTAACGGCGTCCACGCTTGTTGCCGATGGTCATGGACGAGACGGTATTTCAACGCTCGGCCCGTAACACGGGCTTTCATGAGGGTTTTCACCGCCGAATGTCACACACACCGCGGGCACGGAACACAAAACAAATGGGAGACGGCTTCGCACACTGTTCGCAGTCATTGATTGGCTGGAGGAGTCGGAATCATCTTTTGTGACTAGCGACATCTACAGCGCATCGTAGCATATCAGCCCCGGCGGTAGGCAACAGCAGCGAGATGGGGAAATATGTATTTAGGGGCGTGTGCTTGAACTGTGTCTCAGAAGCACAGAACGAAAATACCGTGGACTCCTCAGCTGATGACTCTGTTTAACGCATTTTTAACGTCCATGAGGCCGTTAGCGGTGAAGGCGGGAAATTTGTTTCTCCGTGATGCGATCTACTCGCTACGTGCGAGAAGCGCGCGCGTTTTGTGGGCTTCGACTGCTTGGCGCAGTGAAAAAGAGCACTGGGTTATTTCGATTAGTTTGGCCAGACAACAGTGCCTACCACTTCTGAACGTCTCGCTGAAACAGTAGATCGAGCCCTGTTCAAAACAAACTGCCCGCTCCTGGGCGCCATAGCAACCTCGGCCGCGTACACAACAAACGCGCGCTCTGCAGCCGCGCTGAAAAGATGAGTTATGGAGAACTACAAGACGCTTGGATGGATAGGCGAAGGAGCGCACGGAGTGGTCATGAAGGCTCGCTGCTCTTTGACGGGCAGGGTAGTGGCGGTGAAGAAAATTCCGCACAGGGGAACTGCCGACAACAGCCTGCCATGCGCGACACTGAGGTACGATTTACCTGAATGTCAACATTCGACAGATGTCTGTCTGGTTGGGTATGAAAACTGGGAAATACTTTAAACTGCAACCAAAAGTTTTGAAGAAACCCGACGTTTCGAAACCGACTTGGTTTCTTCCTCAGAGGAAACTGGGACTACGTAGCAGCGGCGTCTTCAAAGCACTCGCGGGGCGGTTAATGACCCCCCCCCCCCTCTTTCCCTCTCGTTTTGACAGTGTATACAAATTTCGACATGACGCCACCAGCGATTCAGGCACAAAGGAAGAAGCACAGAATAAGCGCCCTGTAGTCATACCGTATGTACGCAGAGCGGCTCATTCGTTTAAGAACATCGTCGCCTCTCGTTTTCAGGTTCTCGGCATCTCGGAGGCTTTCGCGTATTTGTGCTCGTTCGTGTGGCGCACCAAGTGCTGATTGCGTAAAGAAGCACGAAAGAACGTTTTTGAATCGTTTGGTAGGTGTTGTCTACTTGATCCTGCTCAGTTGTGGCAAGGTGTACATTGGCCAGTCTGGCCAATTACACCTGCAGTGAGGGAACATGCGCTGTCAATGAGAAGCGGCACGGGTTCGCATTTGCCGTATCATTGTAAGGAGTGCTAGTGTGAACCGTCACTGATCTGCGCGAGAATACTTGCTTAAAAGCAAAGACAAAGTGGCACGTGAATTGACAGAGGCAATGTATATTAGGCAATTCGGTGAACAATGTATCATTGTTCCGTTCCTGTCGTTGTATGATAATGAATTGGCTTTTTTTATCTGATAGGTTGTGATTATAGTTGCTTGGGGTTTTTCGTGTGGTTGTAAGCATGCGTGGGGATTTCAGGACATCAGCTTAGGTTTAATAAAAGTCACTTGCGAGTGTGCGCTTTTCTGAGTCTCTTGTTTCGGCTTGTTTCAAGTTTGCGCCAGCGATGTTTTACACAGCCATGTATATACACTGGAGGAAGGCTTCCGAGAGAGCGGTTGATGTTTTGGGCCGTTCGCTGTATATGCCACGACTCGAGTAGTAACTATCTGGACTCGAGTCGTGGCATATACTGCGAACGGCCCGAAACATCAACCACTCTCTCGGAACCCTTCTCCCAGTGTAAACACACTGCGCTCCACGGCAAAACGAGAGAGAGAGGGGGGTCATTTAACCACCCCGCGAGTGCTTTGAAGACGCCGCTGCTACGTAGTATCCAATTGGGCCAGTTTCCCCTGAGGAAAGAACCAAGTCGGTTCCGAAACGTCGGGTTTCCTCAAAACTTTTGGTTGGAGTTTAAATCGTTTCCCAGGTACGATTCACACATCCCGCCCTCAAACGAGGGACAGTTCACGGGTTGAAATGCACTCTTGATTTAATTTTTTTTACAGGGAAATTAAGGCCATACAACACCTGGAGCACGAAAACGTAAGCACTGTTCATTCGTGTACCGAATATAGTACGCTTCCGAAGCAAAAGGACCATATGGTTGAATCGACAAAAGTTTAAGTTCCCCTTTGCGGCACGAGTAAATTAACATCACGTACGCCACCCTATTCTATAACATCGGCCGGTTTCCTGAAAAGTGAAATACAGCTGTAAGCCGCGTTACGCTTAGCCCCATTTTCACGAGGTGAAGTTTGGTGTACCTCCCTGCTTACGGTTTCCAGCCATGTCATCGGGACAAAATAAGAAGAAAATGCAACTGCAGTGTTCGACAAATCTTTGTAACTTTGGTCGTATATACTGGATGGATTGCTGTATAAAAACTTTCGCGGTGGTGAATTCGTTAGGCAATAAACTCCTCAAGTGCATCCATTTCATGGCTACTTGAAAAAAAGTTGCATCATTTCCCTCTAAAGGGGCCCCGCCTCGGTGGTCTAGTGGCTAAGGTGCTCGGCTGCTAACCTGCAGATCTCGGGATCGAATACCGGTTGCCGGGGCTGCATTTCCGATGGAGGCGGAAATGTCGTAAGCCCGTGTGCTCAGATTTGGGTGCGCGTTGAAGAACCCCAGGTGGTCAGAATTTCCGGAGCCTTCCACTACGGCGTCTCTCATAATCATATGGTGGTTTTGGGACGTTAAACACCACATATCAATCAACCATCCATCTAAAGGGAACCATGTGTAGATGCGAAGCAACGGGCGCTAACGCACATCACGGCGTCGCGCAGGAGAAAAACCTGGGGAGGCGCAAAGCACGCACTGATGGATCGGTGTTTCCTATTGGAACATGCCAATCGCTCATAATGGCCAAGGAGGGACTAGGAGACTCGGGTCGGACACAGAGACCCGCAATCCGCTTTCAGTTAACGCGCACAGTGCTAGTTTTTATGGCTCAAAAACGCACAGGAGAAATCTCCCACCGGCACTACCTTAAAGGTCAAGATCCAGTAGCTATATGCAGTATACGGTGTGGCCAGTGAGCGGTTGTGCAGCACAAGCAGTCGGTGTTGAAGTTTAAATGCTGTGCAAAAGTGTGACAGAGGTCACGTAATCGGTTCTTCTTATAGCGTAGCCACGGGACGGCTTTAAGATCTCCCATAGTAGAGTAACTATAGTACTCGAAATCGTTACACACTTTTTCTAGACACGCAAATGCAAAGTATTTCTTTGCGTACCGTAAGCACTTTTCGCATCTATCTATCTATCTATCTATCTATCTATCTATCTATCTATCTATCTATCTATCTATCTATCTATCTGTCTATCTATCTATCTATCTATCTATCTATAGCCGCTTACGTCTGCGTGCTCTCATGATTACCCCAATAGCTTGGCGTGAACCAAAATTAGTATGGAAGAGTAAGATGGTTTGAAAATATGACGCGCTGGTCAAGACGTGAATAATGTAACAATCCCGTCGCGTACGTCGTGAAACACTTCACGCTACACAGACACAGTGACACAGACCCGCAGGTCTGCTGGTATTTGCCACATGCGATTGAAACTTAGTATCCATCATTCTATCCAGGAACGGCGAGAACACACACAGGGAAATTTAACGCGTGAGCGATAATGAAAACCTGACAGCGTTGAACCCACGAATGCAAAGAATTAATGTCAGGGTCCCAGCAGGCATCGAATCCAAGCATTCTGCGTGGCAGAGAAGTATTCTACCAAAGAGCCACGCCAGGTCTCTGAACTACTTTTCAAATAGACCCTAATGCATCCAATTTTATAAACATTACGTATGGTCTCCTATGTTACAGCCGTCATGTCGGGTTAACGTCAATTGTACGTCGCCGTGCGCCGGAGTTGATTTATGGAGCAGTGTCCAGGACATTCTTGCTCCGTGGTCCAGGGCTACCATCCTCGCGAGCACTAGCGAGGATGGTGGCCCTGCTCACACATCGGCTTATCGGTTCTGGCGTTGCTCATGCTCCTGTTTGAATCATTGCGCAAGTCCGAACTGCATGGTTATATAAACGTCTGCAGTTCTTTAACATATGTCTGTGCGTGCAACATTTATACACGTGTTTTGCGTCATTTCATGATCTATCTTTCAGTAAAAAAATAAATCGCAACATGGTCCCCTTCCCTCTTCGTGCATCGCATAACGTCGATTCTCAAGGTACGTGAGATATGCCGATTTTTCTACTTTTGTTTTTTTCAATCGAGAAACTCGCTAGCAGACATTGCCTGCGTCGGCGTTGCGAGGTGAAGGAAGAGGAGAAGACGTGCATGCGCAATGGGGATGTAGACACCGCTGGGAGGGATGCGTAGAGGAGAGAGAGGGGGAGCGAGCCTAGGCTAGCAGACGCTGCCCGAGTCGGCGTTGCGATGTGAGAGAGGGTGAGTATAGGAGAGGGGGAGGGGCACGCTTGCGCAGTTAAAGGGTGGTCACGCCTGACACCGCATTGAGCTCGACCATAAGACGCTTCGCATCTAAAAACTACACGTAGTCTCACGCCTCTCCCCCTCTGCGGGGAAAGGGCGCGCGTGGGAAGAGCCCGCGCCAAGCGCTGTAATGCGTACGTGTGGTTACGGCTTATAAGTTATGCATTTGCTATTGAAAAAAAAAGAAAACTGCTTGCGCATTGCTGTTGTGTGTACATTCTTTTTGTGTCCCGTTGATTAGTTGCGCTAATCCACAGTAATGATATACTAACCAGCTTAGCCTTCAACGTCGGCATGTAACTTACTAATACTAGAAATGAAACAGTTCTGGAATCCAGCGTGAGGCGTCTTTGGCAGCCATTGTCGCCAAAAAGCATGCGTGGCCATAACCTTTTAAACAATGATAATTACGGGACTCTCTCTGACCCGACTCGGTAAAAGCATGGGGCAGACTCGACATGGCTCGAACTGACTTGCTCACCTATACGAGCATGCCGTCTACTGCCGCAATCACCGTGCAGGTAGTCAGGCTACTCGAGGTGGTCGCCAGCAGCAGCGGCGTCCTGCTGGTGTTCGAGCTGCTGTGCTGCAACCTCTCCACGCTCATCCACAACCCGGAGCGACCTCTGGGTGAGGCGCACGTCAAGTGCTGCATGCGGATGCTGTTGTGCGGCCTGGAACACTGCCACAGCATGGGCATCCTGCACAGGGTACGCGTCACTACTAGAGTATATAGGGCGACGTCGCAGGTTCATGGAGATATATCTCCTCTCAAACATGCTTTACACTCTCTTTTTTACCCTCTTAACTATCTGCCTCCTTTCAACTGCTTTTTCTTGTCTTTACGGGTAGACTGTGTTTTGCCCTTCACCTGTCGCGTAAGCAACTTTGTAAACGCAAAAAAAAAAAATCTAGAGGGATCACGGCTCTGATGGCGTATACCTATCAATCTACGTAGCTTGGGATTGTTTGGTTGACTGATTGATTGATTTACTCATTGACTAACTGATTGACACAATCTGCAGGACCTGAAGCCCACTAACGTGCTGGTGAACAGTGAAGGTATCTTGAAGCTGGCCGACTTCGGCCTCGCCTGTCTGGATTCGAGGGACCGGGAGCACAGCTCCGGCGTGGCGACGAGGTACGCAGCGCCACCTCAATCACTGCCTCTTGGTCCAGCCAGTTACATTCGCTCGTTTCAATGACGTCACTGTCATCGGTGTGCGCACGGTTTCTCTTCAGGCGAAGGGAGGGGAGGGCGAAGATTCTCAACGCCCCTCCCTTCTTATTATGTCAATGTATGGGCACAGCCACTATCCCTCAAGAGGAAGGTATATAAAAGCTGTATTTTGCCGGTACTTAGCTACGGAGCAGAAACCTGGAGACTTGCAAAGAGTGTTCAGCTTAAATTGAGGACGACGCAGCGAGCAATGGAAAGAAAAATGGTAGGTGTAACCTTAAGAGACAAGAAGAGAGCAGAGTGGATTAGGGAACAAACGGGGGTTAAGGATATCATAGTTGAAATAAAGAAGAGGAAATGGACATGGGCCGGGCATGTAGCGCGTAGGCAGGATAACCACTGGTCATTAAGGGTAACTAACTGGATTCCCAGAGAAGGGAAGCGGGTTTAGGGGGAGACAGAAGGTTAGGTGGGCAGACGAGATTAAGAAGTTTGCGGGTATAAATTGGCAGCAGCAAGCACAGGACCGGGTTAACTGGCGGAACATGGGAGAGGCCTTTGTCCTGCAGTGGACGTAGTCAGGCTGATGATGATGATGGGCACAGCCCCTCTATAGAGGCGCCCGCTGGCTTGCGAGTGCACACCAGCCGTGGTATGGAACTGACTTGCACCCCCCCCCCCCCCCTTTGAGCTGGACTTCCATGCTCATTCCTATGGTGACTGCGTAGCTACACTCACTTGTTTCGAACAGAGGTGTGCCTCTCCTATTGGAAAAGAAAAACGTGCACTGGACTGAAGCGATACCAGAGGCTGTGTCAAATGCACTCGCGATGGTTCATAAACTGCGAGCGCGAGGGTAAACACAGACACAAAGCAAAGAGGAGGCGCACAGCACGAGCGCTCCCAGTTCGCTGAACCATCATGAATTGCTAACTAGCCCACCTTTCCATCCTATTGAAATGCACTCACAACAGCGAATGCGTCAATGGCGCAGCCTAGTGGTAGGAACCTGCACTACCACTTCCCCGCCGTATTTTCCTTGCACTTTGTAGATGCTTACATGTGCGCAGCGATATCCAAACACGCGCGCGAACAAATATGCTCTACATGTATATAGTTGTTGGGAGTTTTACGTCCTAAAATTACAATGCCGTAGGGAAGGTCTCGAGAAATTTCGACCGTTTGGTGTTCTCTAACGCGCACCTGAAGCTAAAAGTACGCGGGCCGCAAGTAATTTCGCCACCACTGAAAAGTGCGGCCGGGATTGTATCCCGTGAGCTTCGGGACAACAGCGCGAACACCATGGTCACTTACCGGTTGTTTGTACGAACTGATATATATATTAAAAAAAAGGGGGGGGGGGGGGTCATTCTTTTTTTTCCTTTTTTGTGTGATATGGGTGCTCTCTATATCACTAAGGATTAGAAGCATCCACGATATATATGTGGTTTGATTTGTGTAGACAACGCAAAACCCCCTTTAGGTGCCCAAGGTGGCCTATATACTATGCATGCACAGTGGTGTACCACGCTGCACTAAAACCACCAGGGGTTATCTATCTATCTATCTATCTATCTATCTATCTATCTATCTATCTATCTATCTATCTATCTATCTATCTATCTATCTATCTATCTATCTATCTATCTATCTATCTATCTATCTATCTATCTATCTCCTGGCGTTTCAATAATCGTATCGATACCAAACTTGGTATAGCATTTTCAGGAGAGTGAAGGTGTTGTTCGTAATAAACACAATAAAACTCCCCTTAATGGCGTAAAGTAGCCTATCTGTATACATTTGCAGGGGTGTAATACAGTACTAACACCGTTAGGAGTGTAAAATTTCCGAGGGTGTTTCTTCTGAACCGCGCAGGTGGTACCGGGCCCCGGAGCTGCTTTACGGGGCGCAGCGCTACGGACCCGGCATTGATCTCTGGTGAGGAGGAGGAGGGTCTATTCTCCCTCTTTTCACTCTTGCTTATTAAAAAAAAAAGCGTTCTTGATTTAAAAAAGAAAAAAAAATCGCGTTTCTCTAGGAATCGAAGTGCAGTTTGAGAAGGGGTCGTTGCGCGGCGCCTTCGCCGTAAAAAATCAATATTTCGTCTCCACCGCCGAGTTGCATTCAGAGCGCGCAGGTTTGTGGACGCTAAGTGTAGCGCGTGCGAACGTGAACTAGCCACCCTCCGCCACATCATGTGGGGCGGGTGCAACAGTGGTGTGAACAATGGGGAATGGGCAGTGCCAGGACGCCACGTATCCCGAAGAGGTGGGAGCATGGATGCGCTCCCAAGACTCAAACACACAACGAAGTGCCATCCAGCGGCTTGAGGAGGCCCTGGCAAAGCAGACGAGAAAGGGAACCGACGCCCCGGACAACGGGAGCGGAGGAGCCCGAGTATCCAACGCCTAGCCAGAGCACAACGTCCTCAAGATCTAGGGCATGGGACTATAGCCTATAGTCCCATGCCTATAGTCCTATAGTCTATAGGACTATTAGCCATAGTCTTTCGATAGGGAATACCCGCGCCCTGCGCGGCCGGTGACTTCCCGCACGCCGGATGCGCAAAAAAATGTTGCTTCTCTCTCTCTTTGCGTCCGGCTTCTCCCCCCTCTCCCCTTATGAGAGAGCTGAACGGGAGGAAAGAGAAGAGAAAGGAAATCAAATAGGTGCCCACTCGCGGCGTAATGTCGCTTTTTGCGCTAAACAGAACTATCTGTTCTTATCACTACACATTTTGATTTGAGATTTGATTTATTTTCTGTACGTATAACAGGAGAAAAAAAAACAAAGCAAAATTAAGGCTGCATAGCTTACGACCTTACGGTTTCTACCATACATAGTGTAATGTAGTGTAGAAATGTAGTGTAACATAGTGTAATGTAGTGTTGTAGAACCGGGTGTGTTGTTGCTTTGCATATTGAAGTTTATTGTAGTGTATAGAGCGAAGCGTGATGTTGTTACATAACGAAGTGTATTGTAGCGTGTAAAACAAAGTGTGTTTTTCGTATGGTGCACGTCATTACGCCTGTGGTATGCGTGACGTGCCCTTCCTGCTTGGACCACTTAGTGTCCGCAGTATGTATTAAATAAATAAATAAATAAATAAATAAATAAAATAAATAGAGTAATATACTTTCAAGTTCTTGTGCCATAAATATATGTATCGATACAAACCTGTTGACGGCGAGAATGTTTATGCATACATATAATGATCCCTCGTATTATTTTAGTAGTACACTTAAGTATCTTGCTGTTTATGTATGCACATGCATAAAGTGTAGATATGTCTTATGTTCACCAGTATTCTATTATCTGATTCGTTTCTAAACCGCTCTAAATATTCTTTGTTCATTATGTACGAGTATGTTACCCCAAAAAATGTATGTGAATGCTGCCTTGTGCAAAGGCTCCCAAGCGCCCTCAAGCTGCGACCAGGATTTGGGAACAACAGCGCCATCTGCACGTAGCGGATGCAACAGGAACATCTGCACGTAGCGCCATCTCTCGTCGGCCACAGTGGTGGCCTGCCGTAACTGAATTGGAAATACACGAAAAAAAAATCACATCTCACGAAAAAGAAAGCTAGTTATCAAAAACGACTCCCGGTTCTGCACAACATAGCCTTATTTGAACAGTCTGGCAAAGTTAAAGCGCGTGGCTTCCCAGAGCGTTTGACAGTGGAATCCCGTGCGCTTCTATGTGCGGTTACAGTGGCTAGACTGTAGTGCGGTGTTCAATAGTCTTGGGAAGCCGCACGCCTTGTAGTGCGATGCGGTAGATATACCAAAATGTACCAGTGGGTCTCTGCTGCATATATCCGGGAGTCATTTTCGATAACCTAGCTTCTTTCAAGATATATGACTTTTTTTCATATATTGCCCACTCAGTTATTGGCGGCTGTCATTCCTCTCACCGGGAGAGGGCGCCACGACCAGATGTCCCCACGAGCGCGGACATCGCACTGTATCATTAAAGGGAACACAACGCAAGAGGAGGCGTATACAAAGAATGGCGACACTAAGGAAGGAAGGAAGGAAGGAAGGAAGGGAAGGAAGGAAGGAAGGGAAGGAAGGAAGGAAGAAAGGAAGGAAGGATGGAAGGAAGGAAGGAAGGAAGGAAGGAAGGAAGGAAGGAAGGAAGGAAGGAAGGAAGGAAGGAAGGAAGGAAGGAAGGAAGGAAGGAAGGAAACTTTATTCACGACGGATTAGAACAGGGGTCATGAGCCCGACGGGTGGGTCCCAAGTCCAGGGCTCCACTGGCTGCCGCCGCCTGCCTGACGTGACCCAGAAGTGCATGTTGCACCTCTGGGTCAGAACTAGGGAGCTGTGCCGCCCGTTGCTCGGAAGTATTAGAAAGCTTGCACTCATCTAAGTCGATCTGTTAGCAGTAATTGAAATGCAAATGCGTAGAAAGAAAAGTGAATGACAAGATGTCTTGCCTATAGGCAATTATTTTTTTTCGTAAACCGTTGTTTATTCGCGTTTGCATTGCAATTATTACTAACAACATCCCCTATACTTTCCTTGGCATCACTGTCTGTTGGGTCTCATTAATATCGGGTCTAACAAAAAAAAAAGGAAGTGAATTTCGCTAAGTTCCTTTCATTCATAGCGAGGGTCTTCTCCTTCTGGCAGTCTTGGTGCATTCAGGTAGTATGCACGGGATTATTGGTGAACTATATATATATATATATATATATATATATATATATATATATATATATATATATATATATATATATATATATATATATATATATATATATATATATATATATATATATATATATATATATATATATATATATATATATATATATATATATATAATGTTTCACACTAGCCATCATGGCAATAATAGCGGCGTGCTAACACTCCCAGGTTTGAACGCACGAAGTGGACGGAGGAATGACCGCCGCTGCAGGAGCATCGGACGCGTTATTCGAAGGTCTCGGGGGGGGTCGATTCCTTCCCGGCTGCAAGTTGTCTTTTCGCCCTCTTTTATTCAGTTACTTCTGATTCCCTACGTATTTACCTTGACTTGATTGTCTCATTAATATTGTGTCTATAACAAAAAGAAAAATTTGCCCTCAAATTTCCACATTCCTTTAGGATGCAACACTGCAAGACCTCCTGAAAGATACGTGCGCACAAGCTCGCATAAATGGGCTCCAGAGGCTCAAAATGTTTAGGCATCCCTCATGATAGTAATTGGAGTGATTATTATTATTATTCTCGTGCAATGAGGTTCTCGTGCAATCAGAGCACGGGGTTCTTCGTTCTCTTTGGAAGGCGCATGCGCGTTAGTGCGTATGCTCCACTACATTGCTATTATTAATAATGTGCAAAACGGCCATTTGGCTTTTTCGGGCGAGATAATGAGCGATTGGTTGTTCACTACAATGAATCAAAGCCGTCTGCGCATCCGGCACGCATCGTAACGAGTGGGCGCACACTCCAGGCAGACGTCGTGAGCGTGACGGCATGCGCGTGAGCCCGGCCTCGGAGATCATTGAACAGTTCAATGACCGGAAGTATTTTCTCAGTCGCGGAGCTAAAGGCGATCGGTTTGTGCGCTTCGGACGTTTGGGCGGTGCCGAACATCGCGAGGATCATTTCACGCCGTTCGAATGAAGTGACGTGTCGAGCGTGAAGTAACTGAGTGAACGAACGAACGAATGAACGAAGTAATTAATTAAATCCAGTTCTATTCGCAGGGCTCTGGGATGCGTGTTTGCTGAGATGCTGAACGGCTCGCCTCTATTTCGTGTAAGTATTGTCACGTTTCTTAAGACAAACTTGGTTTATTGGGTTCGTTGAGTCGACTAGCCAAGCAGCAGCTCAGACAGATCGTCTTTGTCTTCTTCCACTCCTGGATCTCACCCAAGCATATCAGGTGGCAGTATTATAGAATTACTTTATAGTGTGCAATAGTTGAATACATTTCACTTGCCTTACTCATTTCTTCTCGCCCAAAAGCTGACGGCAATCAAAGATCTGCCCCAGCATTTATGTCACATACCTTTATATCGCGTGCATACTTAAAAATGTAAAACTTACGTGACTGTACAACATTTGTACGTATACATGTAGCATCACCTCGTAACGTGTCGCTAAAAAAAAATTACATCACAATTCACCTCCCTCGGCGTGCTTCGTATAACATCGATACCCATGATATACGTACGTGTAATGCGTTTTTTCTTTTAAATGCGAAGCATTTCTTTACATACTACAAGCAATCTATCTATCTATCTATCTATCTATCTATCTATCTATCTATCTATCTATCTATCTATCTATCTATCTATCTATCTATCTATCTATCTATCTATCTATCTATCTATCTGTTTGTCTGTCTATCTATCTATCTATCTATCTATCTATCTATCTATCTATCTATCTATCTATCTATCTATCTATCTATCTATCTATCTATCTATCTATCTATCTATCTATCTATCTGTCTGTCTGTCTGTCTGTCTGTCTGTCCGCCCGTCCGTGCGTCCGTCCGTCCGTCTATCTATCTATCTATCTATCTATCTATCTATCTATCTATCTATCTATCTATCTATCTATCTATCTATCTATCTATCTATCTATCTATCTATCTATCTATCTATCTATCTATCTATCTATCCGCTTACGTGTGGGTGCTCTCGTGATCACCCCCTTAATTTTGCGTGAAGTAAAACAAGTATGGGAGGGTCAGATGGTTTGAAGAATATGGCGCGCTGGTCAAGTCATGAATAATGCCACAATCCCGACGCCTATACGTAGTGAAACACTTGCCGCCACACAGTCACACATACTAGCGGGTGGGTTTTTGCCACTGGTATGCGTGGTATGAACCACAGGCGATTGACACTTAGTATATATCCAGGAACGATGAGAACAAACACGGGGAAATTTAACGCGTGAGCATTAAGAAAAAGCATTAGTTTATATTTTGCTTATTCTATGTTCTCAAGAGCAAAGTGCTTTGGCTATTTCTTGTCATTCATTCTCATGTATAATAGAAGTTGTATAGGGAGTACCTATTTTTCTGTATGTATATTGGTTTTTTTTCCATCCCTGTTATAGCCCAAATAGGGCTGACAGTGTAATAAAATGAAATGAAATGAAAAAACCTGACATCGGCAGAATTGACCCGACGAGTGCCAAGAAGTATTGTCAGTATCCCCGAAGGAATCGAATCCAAGTATTCTGCGTGGCAATAAAGCATTCTATACCACAGATCCACGCCAGGTCTCGGAACTACTTTTCAAATAGACCCTAATGTTCGTGAAGCGTCAGTTCTGGTGCAGCACTGGCTATCCTATTTTATAAACATTACGTATGGTCTCCTATGTTACAGCCATCATGTCGGGCTAACGTCAATTGTACCATGGGCGCCGTGGGCTGGAGTTGATTTATGGAGCAGTGTCCAGGGCAGTAGGGCGTGGTCCAGGGTTACGATCCTTGCGAGCGCCAGCGCTTAATGTCAGCTCATCGCTTCTCGTGTTGCTAATATTCATGCTCCGGTTGGCATCGTTGCGTAAGCGCGAAGAACTGGTTATATAAACATCTGCAACTCTTCAACGTGTCTGTGTGTGTAAAATTTGTACACAAGTTTAGCGTCCTTTCATGACGTGTCGCTACACACACAAAAAAAAAAAAACAACAACATGGTCACCTTTCCGCCGCATCCTTCGCATAACGTCGATTCCCAGGGTACGTGGAATCTGCCTTTTTTTTTTCATTTCGTATAGAAACATAAGAATGAAACCTAATGTTGGTGAACACAAATCTAGAAGCATCTCTGTCGGCAGAGGGTCACATGTGGCGGTTTATTAATTAGTATTTAATAAGTTAATAATTCATTAAAGAGATGCTGCAAATACCGGCTGCGGCGGCTGCATTTCCGATGGAGGCGGAAATGTTGTAGGCGAGTGTGCTCAGATTTGGGTGCATGTTAAAGAACCCCAGGAGGTCGAAATTTCCGGAGCCCTCCACTACGGCCTCTCTCATTATCATATGGTGGTTTCGGGACGTTAAACACACATATAAGTTAAATAGATGCTGCAAGACTTTTTGAGCATGGTCAGAAAACACTTCCGAGTGGTAGTTGAGGTTGCCGAAAACGCGCCATCCGAATATTATATGTAGCACGAGACACGCCACCATATTTTACGGGAATGCGCACAGATACAGGACGCCAGTGCAGTCTCACCAGAACAACTTGGGGCGCGGTGGAGAGCCGCGCTGATCAGCTCGGATCGGGCAGATCAAATATGGCCAGCGAGCACGGGAGGCGGCTGAGAGGCAGGGTCTCTCCGCCGCCCCTGGCGCGGCTTTGGCCCACGCCTCAATCCGCTGGTTTAAACAAAAGAGAGTTTTAGTACTGCGTATGCTGCGTACGTGGCGGCGTTGCGTACGTAAGGACGCCATGTCCTGCGTAGTGCGCAGACCGCAACGCGCTCGTATCGCGTTACGTACGCAGCCGCTGCGTACTCACGCATGAGATGCGTGCGTGCGTACGTATGAGCTGATCGCGCCGCTCTCGAACAAGTTCGCGACAGCGCGAGACTTCGTTTTGCAAAACGGCGGCATCAAAGGCAAGCACCGACCGGCTCTCTGGCTTAAAATATGGCCATAATCTGGCTATAACACTTGGTTTGGCTCACAGTGGCTGTCAACAACACGTGCTTCTATTTTGATCTACCAGATGGCGCTACACGCTTCACGCTCGTTACGTACGCGGGTACTACGGCGTACTAAAAGCCGATTAGTGGCAAACGACGCCACGTAACGCAAGGCGCTTGCGTGATGCGTACGTAGCACCGTTCCGCAGTACTAAAACTCTCTAAAGTTTGTACATTCACTCAAATATAAGTGGTCTGGAATTTACAAAAAAATATAAAAGGCAGCTAAAAATCGTTTTCTCTTCTCTCGACAAATGGTGCTACACATTCACAAATCATTGCGTCACAAGCCAAAGTATCAAGTGATTGGCTTATTTGAACATGGCGCGCTCGGGAGTTATTGGGGCCGCATCGGGAGGCCACGACTTGAACGTGCGTGCGCGCATGCGCGCGATCGCACTGAAAAGCCGTGCGTTTGAAGAAAGAAAAAAAAAATTGAGAAAAAAGTTCTTGAAGTCACGAGGCGTGCGTGACATATTGGGTCCGTTTGATTCGCCTGCACCACGTGAACCAGTTCACGAGGTGCTGCACCTTGCCATTCGTTTCAGCGGTGTAGCAATGACAGCCTCTGAACCCTGCCATTCGTTTCGAAAGGTACAGAAGAGGTGTAGCACTGGTTCGCGATTTCCTTGCACCTCCTACGCTGACGGTGCCGGCTTGGTGCAGCCGCGCGTGCAGCTGAGCAGACGACGCGGCACTTAGGCGTAGGCGCCGTACCCGCCTCTACTAACGCGGTGTGCTTTGCCAAGATGTTTGCGCCGCATAAACTGTCCACATGTGCGGTTTACCATCGTTCAGTGTTAGCTGAACGGTGTAAATTAAGCGAAAAGAAATAAGGTCTGCACCTTGTCGGCACATCGTCATTCGTTTCGGGTGTCGTGCTGTGCCTGCACCGCTGAACTCACGCTGCGCAATTTCTGAACTTCACGTGCACAGCCGTGAACCGGTTCCGACCGGTGCAGGTGAATCGAACGGACTTATTCCCTTCTGGTAAGTGTTCTGTGGCCACACCTCCTTGCTTAGCTGCCAGCGCTTTCGTCGGGACGAGAGAAGAGAGAAGAAAGCAGTTGCAGACGATGCGGCAAAAACCCGTTGCAGCGCGCCGGCACGTGTCTTCCTGACGCGCCGAGCCCTCTCCCATATGGAGAGAGAGAGAGCGTGAGCTTCGAGTAGCCACTCGCCTCCTCTCTCTATAGGGAGAGGGCGTAACGCCGCGTCGACAAACCACGCGCAGGCTTTCTGCAGGCACTGCGCCGTAGTACTATACCCCGCGACAACTTTCTGTGGCAGCACAGCCAAGGCTACGGAGCCGAAGCACGCTTGTCTTACTGCGCCACAGCATGTAGTCCCTCAACGAAAACGTTTGTATACTGTTCTGGGTAACTAAGATTTTACCATTCGTCACTTACATTTTTCGCGGATTTATTTTTTAATTAGTGAATAAAAACGTTGCGCAGTAGAAAAAATTTATAGGTGCCTCCTTCCTCTTCTAACCACCACCACCAAACGATACTTGGGCGCTCGTACTGGACTGATTCAAATTTTGTTTTGTTTTTTCGGAAAGAGAGAGAGGTTGATTAACGAGGAAGAGATAAAAAAGTACGCCATTTTCTGCCTCCCGTCACGCGAACACGGCTCAGCACCTATTTCCAGAAGTCGAATTGCGAAGCAATAAGCTCCTTTACTAAATTCATTTCATGGCTATTTAGGAAAGTGTTGCAGGACCCCTTTAAAGGGCCTTTCATTGCTGATAAGTACAAATCTGTGCCTATAATCACAAAAAAAGTATACTTACGCTAAATAGTTCGCAAGAGGGAACCTCAGCCGATCCCGATGCCTGGCAAAAGGCCGATGGGTGGTTACGAGAAGCACCTACGTAAGAAAGCTTTGTAAATTTTTGCCCCGATGATCTCGCTGTTGCCAAACGTTATACATACCATGTACCTCAACACCGTCTTTGTTTTCTTTATTTCTTTTGGTAGGGTGAAAGCGACATCGAACAACTGTGCCTAGTAATCAAGGCTCTTGGAACTCCGGATGAACAGGTTTGGCCGGTGCGTATTCACGAATTTTCACGCGCTTTATATATATATATATATATATATATATATATATATATATATATATATATATATATATATATATATATATATATATATATATATATATATATATATATATATATATATATATATATATATATATATACGGCAGTGACCACCCACAAGATCCATAAAACGAGTGGGACACAAGTCTGCAAGGCTTGAACAAGCAAACAACAATGAAAGCTTCATTTAGCTCTATACGTCTCAAGCCCGTGTCCCTTGATGGTACGTACGCTTTTAAATAAAAAAAAAGTTTATCGTATCTACTTCAGGTAAAGATAATTTGAATTTCCTGGGTAAGGCATCCTGGTGAGCTAGCTAGTTGGTTCGTTGCTTTTATGGGATATTAAACAGCGCGTGAAGATCACACAAGTAAGAAAACATACAGAACACTACGAGCGCCAGAACGATATTTTTGTTTTCCATATGATACTAGAAAGATAATTTTCGCATATATGATTTCCCATACTGCTTGGTTAGTTTGAATTCTGCATTTTTTCGTTTCGCAAACGATGGTTTATCAATAATGCCAACTCATTTTTGAAATAGAATTATTTCTTTCCTCTTAGTAAACAGAGCGAGCAACCTAAAAGGAAGACCTAAAGGAATGGGCGCTGTCCTGTATTTTTTTTTTTTGTTTTTTTCGTGTTTCGGTTATCTGCGCTGTTTATAATGTGAATCCCAAACAAGTCGCCGGATCCCAGGCCTATACTATCTTCCTTGGTAACCTGACAGTTCTAATCAAGTAGATTTCTAGCTATTAGACATAATGATTAATTCAATACAGTGGGTAGGCGCGGAAAACTACCTGGTGGACATCACTCGCGTGGCGATTCACTGATACATGTAATCTTCCACAGTCTAGAAACACGTCTCTCGGCGTGTGCGTCGACACGTAATCTAAACCACGTGATCTCTTCAATCAGGGCGTGCGAGAGCTGCCCGACTACCACAAGATCAGTTTCTCGGAGAGCGCTGGCGTCCCCTGGCGGACTCTCCTGCCTGACGTCAGCAAGCACGCGAGGGACCTGGTCAGGGCATTCGTGTGCTACGACCCGGAACGGAGGATGACGTGCTCAAAGGTGATGCGTTCCCCTTTACTAAATAACCAACTGTGTAAGTAGAACCAACTGGCCAGCTACATAATGCCCACATGTACGTAAAACTAACCAAATGACTGGCTACATTCAATAACTACGCACTACCCACCCCCCAAACTAATAAACCAGCAAAATATGTAAATAAATGACTAAATCTTTCGGTGGTCATTTTCCCCGGATGCTATAAAACAATGGAATTCTTTACCCCAACATGTTATTAATAGTACCGATGTGCAAACTTTTGACAGAGAAATTGATGCTTATTTTGGTAACGGTTGAAGTACTGCCCATTCTGTTTTCCTGTGTTTATTGCTTAGTGGTTTTTTTTAAGTGTTCTGTTTGTACTCATATTGTACTCCCTCCCTGTTATGACCCTCAAGCGAGGGTTGACAGTATTATTAAATAAATATGCCTGAACATTACTGACAACTAACGGACAATAACGTCAAGGAAAGTGATGTTATTAGTGATATATGTAACGTAAGCGTGACGAAAGAGAAGTGGACGAAAATATATCTGTCCGCGGGCAGGGACCGCACAGTGCGACCTTCGAATAACGCGTCCGATGCTTTAACAGCTGCGTTACCGCGGCGGCCATCCCCTCGCCCACTTTATGGGGTACGTATATGTGCATTTAAACGTATAGGAGCGCCACGAGTAGCCTAATTGACGGCAGGTGTGGTTCACTTTATTTCTGCCTGTTGGCATAATGTAGCACGTGATCTTAGTACGAGCTGGCAGCTGACCAATGATCTTTGGCATACTTCCCGAAAGCATCTTGTCTGCCAGAACAAGACCCTCCCTATGAATGAAGGAAAGAAGCAGAAATGTTTAGGGCTTGGTATTTTCAAAATAATAATGACGTATAAATAATAGACAATAATGCCAAAGAAGTATACGGGATCTTATTTTTAGTAAATATAATGTAAATGTGACATCCAAGAAACGCACACCCGACTATAGCTTAGAAGTGTGGCAGCTTGGGCTAGTTGGTATGGCATGACGATAGTTATAGCGCGAGAACAAAACGACGACACAGAGACAAGAAGGACACGAAAGACACGAGCGCTCGTGTCTTTCGTGTCTTTCTTGTCTCTGTGTCGTCGTTTTGTTCTCGCGCTAAAACTATCGTCATACCGACTATAGCGCTCAAGTTCAGCGCTTGCATGGCGTTTTTCTTGTGACCGCGTATTTCGCGCTGTTCGAATTGCTCGCAGACAGTCAGCTCGAAAGCAGGAGAGGCCTAGCTGCACTCCGCGGTGTTGTCTCACTGGCGTGTGACGTCAGAATGACCGTGCGGTTTGTTACGTCAGTATACGCTTACTCTGACGTCATAAACCAAAATGATCGCATTCGCGCAGGCCATATGTGTCATTGTGAGGTGGAAACGCCACTGCCTTTTTTCAAATTTGTACTCTATATAATTTACGTATATCTATATCCGTTAAATAAGCTCATCATCATCATCATCATCATCATCGTCAGCCTGGCTACGTCCACTGCAGGACAAAGGCCTCTCCCATGTTCCGCCAGTTAACCCGGTCCTGTGCTTGCTGGTGCCAATTTATACCCGCAAACTTTTTAATCTCGTCTGCCCGCCTAACCTTCTGTCTCCCCCTAACCCGCTTGCCTTCTCTGGGAATCCAGTTAGATACCCTTAATGACCAGCGGTTATCCTGTCTACGCGCTACATGCGCGGCCCATGTCCATTTCCTCTTCTTGATTTCAGCTGAGACGGGGGTTAAGGATATCATGATGATATCCTTAACCCCCGTTTGTCCCCTAATCCACTCTGCTCTATTCTTGTCTCTTAAGGTTACACCTACCATTTTTCTTTCCATTGCTCGCTGCGTCGTTCTCAATTTAAGCTGAACCCTCTTTGTAAGTCTCCATGGTTTCTGCTCCGTTGCTAAGTACCGGAAAGATACAGCTGTTATATGCCTAATAAGCTCGACAGTGCAACCCACCATGGCCTATGGTGGGCTGCACACAAGCGATGATTAATGGAATGTAAGACCCTCTTCGCTTCGTATAGCTGGCGGGCAGCTGCAGCGTCCCTGCGGTGATCTGCTGCCGTTTGCATGTCGCGTATACGTCCCGGCATCCGAAGGGGGGGGGGGGGGAATGGCATTAAGCGTTGACGGATGACGCGCAGGTGCTGGCGTGACGTGAAGCTCTGGTCGTGAGTGTCGAACGAGTATACGCTACAGCCTGCTTATCGAAAAAGGTGAATCCCACGTGAAAGCGGTTGTGTATATACATTCAGTGCGTGCAGTTGCATCATGGCTGCATGCATCCCCAGGAAGTATACAGCCCGCGGATGCCGCAATGGACGAATCATCAGATTGATCGACAAGCGCTCGTTATATTTATAGGAAAAGCACTTTTTACCGCTCGGTCGTAAAGTATAGACTACTTTACATCTGGGTGCCGCCATTTCGGGCTGTTAAACCGACGGTTTCTTGTTTTTGTTTTGTATATGTGGCGGTGAGGATTGGCCTCCCTGTCCAAACGTGGGAGCGGCCCGCAATCTTGCCTTTATAAAATGGGGTGAAGATTCTTCCGGACACGAATAAAGTTATCTATCTATCTATCTATCTATCTATCTATCTATCTATCTATCTATCTATCTATATCTATCTATCTATCTATCTATCTATCTATCTATCCATCTGACGACGTGAATTAATAAGGCCATGAAACATCGTATGCACCATCCCAAGCATATTGATGCGTATGTGTCTATCTTATACAATGCTGTTCGTTTAGCTGTTGAAGACACAAAACACAATGGATATTGCGGCGGCATTCAAACCCAACCGTAATAGGCAAGGGTCACGTGACTTCTGTGAGAACTGTGTACGGTTAAAACACAAGCATAGCGTCTATCTAAGCGCACGTGTCAAACATATCCCACAAGGGTGCATCATGACGAAATTTCTATAGACGTGCGCTGGGCGTCCCTTCAGGGGTGGGTGGGAGGGGGGGTGGGGGGCGTTAGTTCATCGCGGCGCTGCTTCACCGAATCAAGTCAAAGTATGAGGCAGACTTTGCGCACCCTTTCCTAAGTCACTATACTGTGCTCGAGGGGCTCCACTGGACGGAGCAACGTTGCTATCGTTGTGACGTCACAGATAGGATGCGCCTGCCTACCTTGCTGCGTAGTAACGCGTGGTCGGCCGCCCTCCTTTGCGCACGCCTATGATGACGTCACAGCAACGACGTGGCTATAGTGTCTAGAGAGGTTGAAGCGATAAGGTGTTGGAAGCCATATGGCAAGTTTATACGTCTGCGCGTGTTAGAGGAGTTGCCAGTTCCGCTTATAGTATAGCATATCTGGGCTCGCTGTTTTCCTCGAGTTTCGCATAATTTTGCAGTCGCTTAACTGTCACGTGTTTTGGGGCTATTCGCGTTTTTTCTTCCTGATAACATAGTTGTTTGGTGTTCGTTTTTTTTTTCCTCAGGTAAACACTCCCTTCATCCGAACTTTAAAGGGAAGAAAGGGCTTATCTCCCCTACCCAACTTCTGGATATACGCGCCTAGTCCACACGTGGTCTAGTGAATTATATGACTATTCTGGTAACAAAAAAAAAAATATGTTTCTACCGTCACCACAACATGTAGTCATGTCGTTTTGTCGTCTCTCGAATCGTACACAGGCGCTGCTGCACTCGTTCTTCTGGAGTGACCCGCTGCCCAGCCGGCCGTCTGAGCTGCCCGTGCCCCCAGAGCAGGAGCCACAGTTCGACATGGACACCTGCTTCGGCACGTGCAGCCAGGAAGCGTCGCCGGGCTGGTAGTGCTACGCGCGCGCGCACGGTGGTCTGTCTACCTTCGAGTGATGCCGTCTACGGAAGTCCTCCCTGCGCGTCGCTGCATGCGGGCAACAAAACGGAACGACGCTGAAAAATCCCCTTGATCGTGTTATATTAGAGAGTTTTAGTACTGCGTACGCTGCGTACGTGGCGGCGTTGCGTACGTAACGACGCCACGTTCTGCGTAGTGCGCGTGCACAGACCGCAACGCGCACGTATCGCGTTACGTGCGCAGACGCTACGTACGCACGCATGAGATGCGTGCGTGCGTACGTATCCGGTGATCGCGCCGCTCTCGAACAAGTTCGCGACAGCGCGAGACTTCGTTTTGCAAAACGGCGGCATCAAAGGCAAGCACCGACCGGCTCTCTGGCTTAAAAAATGGCCATAATCTGGCTGTAACACTTGGTTTGGCTCACAGTGGCTGTCAACAACACGTGCTTCTATTTTGATCTACCAGATGGCGCAACACGCTTCACGCTCGTTACGTACGCGGGTAGTAGGGCGTACTAAAAGCCGATTAGTGGCAAACGACGCCACCTAACGCAAGGCGCTTGCGTGATGCGTACGTAGCACCATTCCGCAGTACTAAAACTCTCTATTGTCTCATTCACATATGCGACTAGCACCGGCCGGTAAAAAAGAATTGCGACTAGCGATTAAAAAGTGACTCAAGGTGAGCGATGTTCACACATGCGTGCGACTGACCACACGTTCGCGGTGCAGCGCACCCGTGTGGTCAGGCCTCTGGCCCGTATTCACAAACCAACCTCAACCTTACTTCGAGTTTTCCTCATCGGTTTTAAGCCGTTATTGAGCTTTCTGAACAAAGTAGGCTATAGTATACACGAACCAATCTCGTTGTTATATTTCACCTTGTTACCATTTCTGTGCCCTGTGCTGCCGAATGTACTGTGTTTATCTCTCTTCAATCTCTGCTCTCTATTTTTCATCTCTCCCATCTTGCTCCCATGTGCAGGGTAGCAAACCGACTGCCCATAGGCTGGTTAACCTCCCTGCCGTTTTTTTTCCTCCTATTTTCTTTCCTTCCTTCCCTACGCAGAGAGTACAGAAACTCGAGGCAAAGGTGAGAAAATGCTAAGGTTGATTTGTGAATACGAGCCTTTATATCCGTCGCCTCACAGAATTCGCGTCAGCTCGCATCATAGATGGCACTGTCATTAGCACGTAAAATAAGCTGACGTACTGTTCCCGCCCATATCACGGCTCAGGGCTTCAAGGCCTGATCACACACACGCGTTGCAGCCCGTCAGCGCGTCGCTTTTAGACGCGGCGCCGCACCCTCGCCCTATAGAGAGAGAGAGGGGAGCACGCGTCTGTGCGAATATGCTTGTCCCCCTCTCTCTCTCCACATGGCAAGGGTGTGGAGGCGCGTCTAAAAGTGACGCGCTGATGGTCTGCAACGCGTTCGTGTGATCAGGCCTTTACGATGCAGTGTCACGACTGAAAAATCGAGCAGCGAGCGGCTGAGCGTGTGGCAGTCACTTTGAGACCAAGAGAGAGAGGTAAAGATGCAAGGAATGACAGCGAGGTTAACCGTACACACATCCGGTTTGCTACCCTGCACATGGGGAAGGGATTGCCATTGCGACTATATGGTCACGTGGCCGGTGCTAGTCGCTGGTGTGTTAATACACCTCCTTCGGGCCTGTGTGCCTCCCGCGCCTAATTTGCCAAGCGGCTTGTCGCAGTATAAAAGCGGTGCGTGGAGCCGTACTTCATGATGGGGTGAGTGTCACGCGTACACTTTTGTCAAGTTCGTGAGATTGCTAAGGGAGGTGAAGCAGGGACCTTCCATCGTACGCCACTTCCTCGCTTCAGCTGGAGGAATCTAAAAGCGAATAAAATGCCAAGTGGTGAGAAACACAAAGTATGATGACAATGTTCATTTCTTCAGCGTTTTACCCACAGGTCTTTGAAACAGCTTGACGGAGGGAGAACCCGGCAGCCCTCTTCTAGGGGCGTATCCATGAAAAAAGAATAAGACACAGTGGGGACAGCTCATGTGACAGCTCTCAATACAAATTAACTAGATCTTTTGTTGTAAGGTGTTCAAACACTTTCCATACACATGTTTCTAAATGGTGCCGAAAGTGGTATAGATTTAAACATGGATGAGCACTCCTCCTGTATGTGTTTTATTTCTTCATTGTTTTAACATAAATATGTCCAATGAATATCTCCTGCCCTGGCATGGCCGTGGGGGGGGGGGGACCGGGATCATAAGTGGTATTATTCAAGAATCGTGTATTAACTACGCCTATGCCCCTGCTTCCAACTTGAAGGCCGACATGACAGTTTTGAATTCAAACGAGGTTTGCACTTGCGGCCCATGCTCGAAAATTGCAACCTTGCAGCATCCGAGCATGAACGAAAAAAAAAGATGATTTATATTTCAATTTTATGCTACCAATTTACCGATTTCTCTTCCTTTTCACCGCTAATCTGCCCCTCCCCTTGTTTGCCGTCCAGCCCCGGCTGTTTCGGTTTCATGCTGCGAAGTATAGCCCTACGCCTGTGAAGTAGGTCACCAATCACTGTTCGACAAATAATTTTTTTTAGGGGCGAAGCTCCTTAGGGCGTGGGCTGTGCGTCCCCTGTAGCCTGTATGTAGCCACCTCTAGTTTAGTTCTTGCAGTGTTCACTAGATGGCGGTACCGTCCCCTGTATGTAGCCACCTCTAGTTTAGTTCTTGCAGTGTTCACTAGATGGCGGTACCGTCTCCTGTATGTAGCCACCTCTCGTTTAGTTCTTGTAGTGTTTACTAGATGGTGGTACTTGTAGCTGATGATGAAAAGATGCAAGATGTTATAAACTAGAAAGCGGTACTTGTAGTTGATGAAAGACGCGAGATCTTATAAAATAGGAATGATGTCACATATGGCGCGTGTCATTGGTTGAAGGCAATCGTTCGATTTAGTGCGGCGACGTACGCTAGGGGGAGCGATGTAATAAAATCGAGTGGGCAAAATGTACAGAGGATTCATGGTTTACCAGGTTCACCTCCGGAGCTTCGCCCACTCATCGTCATTCACTTCGTGTATATGGCGGAATTTTTTTGTTTCTTCTTGCTCTCACCGGGATTTGTCCGTAAGCCCAATCTCCCACCCATTCGGCGCACGCATGCAGCAGCGGGAGGTGGTTGCGGGTTGTCATGTCGAGGGGGCGCCACCATCTTGCTTGAGCTTTCGGCCGTGGGAGGCGATGAAAACAGCAGGTCAGCTTCATCCTGAGGCAAGGTAATCGGCAGGATTACATCTTAGCAGGATTACGTGTTGAATCGTTTTTGGGGATGGGTGAGATGACTGGTGAGGCTTGAGGGGGGCAAGTGCCCTCTTTGCACCCCTGCCAAAGCCCAATTCCTCGGGAGCGGATAGATACCCACTCTGCGCGCGCTCGTTTAAATTGTCATACTTTCCTCTTCCCCTCCCGCTTCTATTCTAGCTCGGAATACGAAGAAGTACTTGGTGTTGGCCCAGTCGGTTCATAACTGTGTGCTGACCATAAAACCGCGGTCACTTAGCGCAACATGACGCAAAAGTAACCAACTGGGAGCAACGTGCTTTCTTGAATTTTTTTGTTCATCATCATCATCATCATCATCATCATCAGCTTGACTGCGTCCAGCGCAGGACAAAGGCCTCTCCGATGATCCGCCAGGTCAACTTGGCCCTGCGCTTGCTGCTTCCACTTTATACCCGCAAACTTCCTGATTTATTATTATTATTTTAAGTCGCGTGTCCTTAATTATACCTTATATACCCCTTAAATATACCTTACAATTATACCTTACATATACCTTATATACCCCTTGAATATACCTTATATCGCAGTTTTTCTGCTCTATAAAGCACTCTATTCATAAAGGGAAACAAAAGAGACGATTTTCCTCATATTAGTAAATTACTTTTTTCCCACTTGCTATTTTTGTTTGTTTGTTTGTTGCCTGTAAGTGCTTCCAACATCACCACTTTTTTTTTCATTAAAAGATGCCATGCTAATCGAGAAAGCGCGCAAAAGAAAAATGCATGCGGTGACGCCATCTTGAAATTTCCGCGCCAAACTTCGCTACCTCGTAGATTTATGACGACGTCTCCGAGGTCCTGATCAGTAAAAGTGAAGTACGTCGTCCTCTGAGGTGGCCAAGCACTTGACATACCGAACTTCAAAAAAATTCGTGGAACTAACGTAGACAAAAATGCGAGAAGTACAGATTAAAATCTGCGGCACCACGTGGGGTGTTCTTGGTGCGAAATTTAAAATCTGAACTTTGACCTGGCTTTTTTTAGGGGCGAAGCTTCTAAAGCCGCGAGTCTGTCTCTCCTAGCTCGCACGTGACCGCCTATTTCGATGACTCCTTCAGCAGGTGCGGACAGACAGACAGACAGACAGACAGACAGACAGACAGACAGACAGATAGATAGATAGATAGATAGATAGATAGATAGATAGATAGATAGATAGATAGATAGATAGATAGATAGATAGATAGATAGATAGATAGACGAACGATTCACGGTTTACCGATAAAACCCTTCGAAGCTCCGCCCCACTCATCATCATTCACTCTGTGGATATGCTGTGATTTCTTTCTTTACTAACAATTTTATGATGGTGAAACAATTGGCATTAGAGTTATAAGAGTGTAATTTGTAAATACAAAGAGATAAAATTTTTTGCTTTAGTGTCCCTTTAAGTTATCATGCATAAACGTGTAATGTCACCCAATTTTCGGCCAGTGTCCCACAGTGGGTGTGAGCCACAGTGGCTTGGCGCACAAGAACAAAGGCCAGGGTGACCTTCGCCGTGTAGCTGCCAAGAACTCGGTCCATCTGGTGCGTACAATGGGGAAGCTATGTACTATACTCTCGCTGTTTCGTAGAGACGCTGTCTAAGAGGCGTTACGGAATAAATCTTGCTATGTATAGACAAAGTCGTCCACAGAACATTTCGCGAGGTTGGGGTGGGGAATGCACACAGCCGAGGCTAGAGGAGGGAGGTGCGTGCAGCACAGGCAGCCTTCCACATGCGTCACATGATCGACAAGATTAGTCGATAGTGTGTGACGTGCAAAGTTGGCTGGCTATCACTGGCCTGAATCAAGGGAGGGGGGTCAGGGTAAAGTCACTTCAGGTCAGGAGGCCCTGTCCTTTGTTTTCAGACAGAAAGGGGGGGGGGGAGCTGCTAGGGTCTACCTTTTAGATTTACAGACATTATACATTAGATTTAGTTGAGTTTTAGCATAGGACATTTAACTTCTTTTATGCATGTCTATACTGTTGCGTTTAGATGTGTTTATTCACCTCGGGTGGTTTCTGGTAACAACTGCGAAGTAATGAAATTCAACAAAATTCAATAACGAAACCTGAACCGACACACCAGATGTGCGCTTCTGCCATATATTTTCCTGAGAATTCAAAAAATGAGTGCGACTGACTTTTCCTTTAGTACGCAGCAGGTATATTTAGTTTGTTGAAAAAAAAAAACATCATGTGGGACAGCAACAAATTTAACGGCTGTCGCCGTTCAACTTGTATGAAGCTCATAACGCCAAAGCAATTACTTGAAGTGGCGTCCCCTATATCTCAAAGCTGCGATAGGTTGGTATCATGAAGAACTTCAATTCTATCGTTTGAGACAACCGTCTAACTAAAGTAATTAAAAAGTTGATTTATCTTTTTTTAATTACAGTCACAAATTATGTCCTTAGCGATCTTGAGATACCCGTCCCTACAGAAAGAGGGATTCTGAAGGCAGCGAAGAAACATCGCCTTTTCCTGAATTTTGAGAATTTCGGACACTTATTTTTTGAAATACCCGGTTTATTTCCCTAACTTACTAAAAGACCATTGCTGTATACATATATGCGTACGGAAAACCTTTGCTGCTGATACACTGTAGTGTTCACCAATGTACAAGAGTTCAGTAAAATCACAACTGTGTCTAATTATTACCTTTCCTTTCCAGTATTTCTCGCAAGTGCTTGTGAGGTATGCGTGGGGGGACAAGACGAAAGAGGGGAGGGGCTGCTTTTCTTAGAAATCGAGATGTCTGCCAGCGGGGAGGAGGTGTCTAGGTGGGCCACGGTCGTCTCTGACGGTGACCTTTCTTCATCGGAGGTCACCCCGACGCGTACATGCGCAATCGTCGTCAGCAAAAAGAAAGAAAACAAAACTCGGTCATTCGCAGAACGTCATTCCGCCAGGTTTGTCGAAGACGTGCTTTCGACACCACACCGAAAGGAAAGACGAAGTAGAGAGAGATAGAGAAACTGACAAGATAATGAACGCATGTGTAAACGTGTAGAATTAATTATGCGTGTGAGTATGAGTATATATGCGCTTGTTTGTGTGTGTGTTGACTGCGTTTGATATGAGGCAGAAGCTCAGGGTAGGTGGAAGCTTAAAGTGATGAATTCTTGATGCGGTCATCGGCAGGATTTCGTCTTGGGGGGTAGGGGATGCTAACCAGTGTTTCATCTCGGTGAGCTAGAGTAGAGTGGCTGGTGGTGCTCAGGTGGTGGGTCAGTGGTTTGATGGATGGATGAATTTGATGGATCAATGGCTTGATGAGGATCAAATGACCCTTCAGCCCCCCCCCCCCCCTTTGCCGGCGCCCATGACAGGAAACGTCACTGGAGCGGTTTCTACAAACATGCATTTGCCAAGGCATCAACAAAGACAAGTCTGCTTGCCAAAACGTTGGCTCTGGCGACACCTATTGTTCAAATATTTGTGATATCTTACTTATGTTTGTGCGTTCATCTTTCTGTGCGTTACCGAAGGAGCGCCCACGCCCCGTGCCTCTAGCCGGAGCGGCCCCTGCGATCATCCCGGAGTCAATATATGACACGTAAGTCTGAAGCAAAAGTGCGAGCCGACTTGATGGACATGCTTTGTGCCTCAGAGGTTGTGCAAACAGAAACAGAGACATCAGTCTGTAGCACTTGTTTTCGTTGAGCCTATAATGCTCCCAGTTTCTTGAAAGACACCGTGGCTTGGACTGGAAAGACCAGGGCTTTCAGGGGAAATGCTCTCTACAAATCAATGAAGATGCTGCCCCCTCCCCACTATTTCTTTTTCTAACAGTTACTGTTTAATAGGGAATAAGCTCATATCGCGTGTCATGTGGTTCCGCAGTAACTCAGTCTGCCCACCTTCTCGCAGGCTTTTGATCTACTTGTGAAGGTCGATACGGTTCCCTCTTACAATTCTGATATTCACAAGGATTCCGATATGTCGTCTTAAAATTTACAGGGGCAGCTTTAGGGGGCGCGGGGGGGGGGGGGGGGAATTTTGTCTTTGCTTAACCTTTCCAAAAGAGGAAACATTGTAACGTGTAAGTCCTGCCCCCATTCTCTCCCTAAGGCCTGAACTTTTCATGGGTGCCCCTACCCCCTAATCCCCACCATTGAAGAAAAAAAAAATATTATGACACCGCTGCTGCCTAAAATCGACCGATTACGAAAATCGCGACCTTCGCGCGAACCGATCACGAGCTCACCAGGATACGAACACGTGGCGCGATGCTCTCTGAGAGACGACTATGAACCTGATGAAACCCGTTGTTAACTTGTAGCATGCGGTAGTTGCATGCAGCGGGTCAAGTGTCCCACAACGCGCGCCCGATCGTGCAACGCGTAGCCATGTGTTTTAGCGAGACCTCGCGTCTGTTGCACACAAATAATGAACGCCCGCAAACAACCGCACCCCAACACCATATCCCTCGCGGCACGACCTCGGCGTGCGTGGCTGCGTCGGCTGGGCGGGCGCGAGGATGCGTAGATGCGAACCTTGAACCTCGGTGTCCCGTTTCTTAGCTCGATGCCCGCGCTCATGTTTCGCTTCTCCTCTCCCGGTTGCAGAGGACCTCACAAGACGTCGGGGAGACGTCGACGTGAAAACCCCTCACCCGCAACGTCATCACGTACGCTGGGCCGGCGTTGCTCCTCCTCCTTCTGAAACCCTCTAGTGCGATAAGCAGGGCCCACATATCCTGCGGTCGTCAGTGGGTCGACAGTCCAGTCGAGCACTGATACTCCAGTGGTAGCCGTCAAGCTGACTGGTGGTGCGTGCGTCTCTGCTATCGAACATCCCTTTGAGAGACGGCATTTGCTCGACAGATTCTACAGAGTCGTCGGCGTTCTCGGTAACACCACTTCAAGAACCATCCTTCCCGCACAGCCAGTCATGCTGTCGACACGCCACATCTTGCCGGCCGTAGTCGCCATCCTCGTCCTGTTCGTCTCCTCGTCGCGAGCACAGGACGCCGCCGCCGCCGAAGAAGTTCCCTTCAGGCCCTTTCACAACTGTAAGCGACCGCCGATACGTTTGTTCGTACACCTGACCACGGTATCTAGATTGTCATTGTTGTGTCGATCACTGTAGCCGCCGTAGGCACCTATGTATAGGCAGGATTGGACGCTGAGCATGACTATGCATGGTACTATAAAGACAGAATGGTAACGATGCTTAAGAACATCTTTTCTCTCTGTTAATGCTGCGAGCGGCAGACAGACGATGAACGCTCTTGTTCCTCATACCTCCCGTTTCAGGAAGACGTCCATCATAAAGGTTCGTGATGTATGCTTATAACTGCAGGTACAAGAAGATAAGTCAACATCATTGGCAGAGTACAACTTTAAGATGTTGTAATAAACCTTAACACTTGATCTAATAAATATTTTTACGCTAATTGACCCATACAACAGGCTATCAAGTTTGTCGATATCGTCAGCGCAACTCGAAAACACGCCAAATCTCGGGGGCCGAAATTCACAAACTGCCCACTTTTTTTTCGTAACTGCTCATTCCTCACTGTTCAGCTGCCTTCGCTAATGCGATGCCCCGCATTATAATTGACTGAACTTATCTCTTATGGAACCATTCTAGTGCAAGTGCTTTGTTCTGAATACGGAGGATTAGCATGTTGGTATCTGCTGGACATTAATTGATGCACGTTCACAGAAAAGTGAACTGCGTGAGCTCCAAAGGCACTGTACGTAATTAACGCTGTATGTCAAGGATCATCTTCAGCTCGTGGACAAGACATGGTTATACCTGGAGTGAGGAAGTCACCAACTTCTGGGCGAAGATAACGCTCACCAGATTGTATGGGACAATGTTTAATTCATTCTATGCGTTCTTATATTGAAAATACTACATGATGTATCACGAAACGTTACGGAACGGGACGTCCATGCATTATTAAAGACCTGTAAGCGGGAGCAGTAGACATTTCACGGTCTATTGCTCTCACTGTTCGCAATTCTGTACAGGTTACTTCGTGAGAAGGGGAAAAACAAGTTGTAATATAGAATGGCAAGCCATTAGGGGTTCGCGTTTTCGTTGAACTGGGTCAACGATGGCGCGTGAATCAGCGTCCTGTATCCCTTGTCGTCTTCGACGTAGGCACATGGAAGAAGGGCGATCCTGGTGCGCCCGCGTTGGCCCGCCTGGGAGGATGCGAGGGCCTTGAGGTGTGTCCACTCTACAGGAACACGTCGGCCAAGCTTGAGATGCAGTTCCGTACGTATACGCGCTTCCTGTTTTCTTGTCATTGATTTCAAGAAGTAGTTAGCTTCGTGGACACCTTACGAAGCCAGGACTGGTAATGTAATCAGACGAATGGTATAGATAACCGGTGGTCAACTAGAGAGACAGAATGAACGTGTCGAGGGGTGAGGAACGTGGCCGAGAACGGCGAGTGAGAATAGGAAGCCCCGAGGCAAGGAACTAAATCAGGTCACGCGAGTCAGTGGGGATTGTAGATCATTTAGAGATGAGCATGTTGACGATCGTGATGACTTAACGCGCCGAACCCACGACGTGATTTGGAGGCACTTCTGGTTCATTCTGACCACCCGTGGTTCCTTGACGTGCAGCTATAAACCAAAGTGCACGGATGTTCTTGCATTTCGTCCCCATCAAAGTACAACTTCCGAAACAGAAAGCTGAACCTACGCCCGCGAGCTCTCCCTTATGGTTTTATCGTTCTGCCCACATATATCTTGTCGTTTTACCCACGTGTCGGACCTCTCAGTGTAGCAAACAAGATAACACTGTGCTGAAACTGTGCAGTTAGTCTGCACTGTTGTCGGTGGTATGCATTGTCAGCTTCCCGCGTGCACCAAAGTTCGGCGAGGCTGCAGGGCCAGCAAGGCAATGGTCGTTTAGAGACTACCGCGTCGCTCATCTGAGTGCAAATGCGTTGGATTGATTTCTCGCCATGGTGGCCACTTTTCGAATAATCTTAATTCTTGCACCCCCTCTTTTTTTTATGAGCCAATCAACGTTATGAATGATAACTAAGCACCTCATGCAGAAGTGGGACTCGGAGGTCTGGTACAACGAGGTCAATGCCTTCTTTTTATTTGTCCGACAGATTGCTGTCGGGTTTTTAGCAAATTCCTATCGCGAACACGATGCGGTAAACATGCAGAAACCATGAAGCATATATTCTACCTGAATGTCATGATATCCGATCAATCGGTCGATCAATCAATCAATCAATCAAACAATCAATCAGAATGTTCTACATTCACTATACATACATAAGTTGCAAAATGACGAACTGGAGGAAAAGGCGGAAGTTTTACGGCTTGATAAAGCTAATCAAGAAAGCTGGCGCGGCATCAGACGCGCTGAAAACAAAATGCACATGTTCCCAGCCTCCCTGCCCCACTGAAGGAACTCACTTGACGCGGGTTCCCCCCAAGACAAAACATTCCTGTAAGTCTTCCCGACATATTGGGCTTCAAAAGCAGTAGACCTCATCAACGGTGTTGAAAAACTAGGAATACACTGAATTGATAAGTTTTAGTTACCGGGAAAGGGAAAATAAAAGTTAACGACTTATTAGTATATAAACCACAGAGCACGAATATTAGGAGCTTTGTGGTACTCACCATCAGCCCGATTCAAAGGGTATGCTCGAATTTATCATCCATCTATCCATGTATATTCATATATCCATCGCGAGCCGTCTGCGGTACGGCTGTACATACATACATACATACGTACATACATACATACATACATACATACATACATACATACATACATACATACATACATACATACATACATACATACATACATACATACTGTGCATGCATGCATGCATAGATACATCGGACTATGCGAAGGGGAAAGAATGGCACAGCTGGTCCACCAATTCGATACACTTTAGAAGGCTTGTCATGGTTGACGCGGGCAGAAGTGTACAGTTTACAATAACAGTTGTTCGGCTTCCACGTCCCAAAAACCCCGATATGAATATGAGGGATGACGTAGTGGTGGGCTCTGGAGAGGGAGAGAGACTCTTTATTAAGAAAACAGGAATTTTGCCGGCGTCTATATAACGCTGGCATGCTACTCTGTAAAGGGATGGGGAAGTTAGGGGACAGAAAGATTTCAGCAGAGAGATAAGAAAGATATGAAAGAAAAAAAAAGGTCGTGGTCTAGTGAACCTGATATAACTATTTACATTAGGGTATCAGTTAAATCAAGGCTTTGCTGTGTGAGACATCGTATAATTAGAGCCTTCCGGCAATGCTTATATCGGATAGGTAATGGATCAATGGCAGTATGACCCGACAATGTTTAGAAGGTCCACGCACAGGGCATAAGGGAAATTTCCATCACCTGTGGCTCTTTTGGTTCTTTAATGTTCATCTAAATATAAGCAATCCATTGACATGTGGGCGGCGCAGCGGTGATTCGATCGCGCGAACTTTGGGTCAGAAGACGAGAAACATGGCCATTAGAACACCGGCCATGGAAGATCATGGCCTTTAGAACACCGTAACCAACACCGTGAAAAAAAAAAAAACAGATACCTTGTGGCTATCTGTACCGCACCAATCTTTATTATTATACAACGAAACTTGTACTTGAAACGCTTGGATCTTCTTTTTTTCTTTCTTTGCAGAAGTGCACAATGCCACGCGGGGCATCTACCGGCGCATCTACGGCCTCTTCGAGAAGGTGATGGTGCCGTACGGTCGCGAGACCAGCATCTGCGACTCGACGGCTTCCGTCGACGACGACGTCAAGTGCTCCCAGGCCGACCGGGGACTTCGCGGGGGACACACGTACCGGCACACGGGAGCCTTCTTCGTCAAGCCCTTCTTTCCAAAGGTACTATCGAGTTCGAACACGAGAGCGCGCGGCGGATAGCCTCACACCCTATACGTCGGCTCATTCGCAGCGGCCGTACTCGTAAGCAACGCGAAAAGGGCGGCGCGCTTCTCGTATCTGTTGGGATTCCCGAGTCGGTATCGTTGATTGATTGATTTGTGGGGTTTAACGTCCCAAAACCACCTTATGATTATGAGAGACGCCGTAGTGGAGGGCTCCGGAAATTTAGACCACCTGGGGTTCTTTAACGTGCACCCAAATCTGAGCACACGGGCCTACATTTCCGCCTCCATCGGAAATGCAGCCGCCGCAGCCGGGATTCGATCCCGCGACCTGCGGGTCAGGAGTCGGTATCGTTGCTGCACAGCGGTGGCTTACATAGCGCGTTACTGGCTTCCAGCGCGTTGATATGAACTGACATAGCGCGCACAGCCACAACCAACGACCGGACATGCTACGTAGCTCCTGGGATATCGGCTGTAACGTAGGCTGCTATGATGCGCCTGCATTATAGGTGGTGTTGGCTGCGCATTTTGATGCCTGTCTTTCACTCACTTACTCTTCGGGGCATTTTTATGAGGGGTGCAAAGTCAGCCCCATACAGAGACATAATAGGGACGGGTGGGGGAGGGCGAGAGGGGGCAGAAAGCAAAGTCAGCCCTATAAATTGACATGATAGGTGCTTCGATGAACCATTGGTCTCCCCCCTGAAGGGGACCCCTGCGCACGCTTATGTGTGTACGTCTTTTGTAGCGTTAAAATCATCATGTTATATAATCAGTCAAATCAGTCAACTCACCCAAGAAGTTCCTATGACATACATTACATACACACGCACACCATAGACAGCCGTAAGGGTCTCTCTCTCTCTCTCTCTCTCTCTCTCTCTATATATATATATATATATATATATATATATATATATATATATATATATATATATATATATATATATATATATATATATATATATATATATATATATATATATATATATATATATATATAAGGAATAGGGAATGAAAATAAAGACTTCTTAGTTGGTTGTTGGTTTGGCAATGTACATTCTCTCCAACGTTTCGTCTGGTGGACCAGAGTTAGAGGGAGTGTGTGACGAAATTAAGAAGTTCACAGGAATAACATGGAATCGGCTCACACAGGAGGATAGGGCGATTCGGAGATCACTGGGAGAGGCCTTCTTCTTGCCGTCAACACAAAATAGGCTGTCAATCACGATGGTAATGACGTTGCGCGCAGGTAAATTTAGGGAGGCCATATGCTTCCAGAAATAACCACCAAGGGCGTAACCAGAACGTTTTTCGGGGGGAGCGGGGGTGAGTTCAACCATACGTTATGTATGTTCGTGCATGAATTTGTATGTGTGCGTGATGTACAAGAAAGATGTTTGAAAGTTTCGGGAGAATGGTTGAACAGCCCAACCCCACCCCTGGCTACGCCACTGCTGGCCACGACCACGCAAAGTTGTGCACTTACAGCTTATTCACAAACACTCCTCGACTCGACTTTCACCCTTCACTTCACAGAACACAGCGCCACAGCTCGGCTCATAGTGACGCTGCGCAACCCAAGAATCGCAGCAGATTATCGCTGATGTGCAGTGACTTTCCGGGCCTAGAGAAGGCGCTGCCATCGGCTTTGTCAAATTAAGGTGAAGCGTTGAGTGAAGGGACGTTCTAGAATACGGGGGATAGCTTATCACGCGCTTCTTGTGCTAAACAATAGGCATCACCCGACCGCGGTTTTATTTTTCGGAACGCGCGCACAGCAACGACAGGTGGCCGGAAGCGCGCGCGTCGGAGAAGAGGCGTCCTCGTGCAACCTTGCGCCGACGTCCGAAACAAGATCTCTCGTCAGGTATGCGGCGGAGGATCTCGCCGCTCATGCACAACATAGGGGATGCAGCCATAGAGTTTCTCAAAATTAACTAGAGGGCACTCTGGCGCTGCGATCGTTCAGCGAGCATGGGAACGATGGGCAGTACACACATTTGCCTACTCTTCGTACTTGCGGGCGGCGAATCGTACTTGTGGCTTCGTTTATTGCTGTGTTTCAGTTTTGTTTTGAAAGAAAGAACGAACACTTTTGAACTTTGTGACGCGATTTGAAATGGTAAGCCCAAAATAATAAAGTTGTGAAGCGCAAACGGCGAAAATTTGCTAATTTATGTTTTCGGGAAAAAACAGCCCCAAGCCACACGAACACACACGGAGCGAGAAGCAGGCCAGAAGTACGAAAATCAGACAAATGTGTGTACTACCCATCATTCCCATGCTCGCTGAAGCGCCGTGCGTTGCAGCTCCCATAGACACTAGCGCCAGAGTTCCCTCTAGTAAGTATTATGGGAAACTCTATGGGATCCAGTCAGTAGGCGGAATTTTTGTATCGCGTATGTGGTGCTGCGTCACGGTGACAGCGGGCACGCGATTGGTCACTTGGAAGCATACGCCGACCTCGCTGCGGTGCGGGTTGTTTCCATCCCAAGGAGGATTTAAAAAATTGCTGGAGTGGAAATGACTGCCCAGGAGTGAAGCCGTTCCACTGACACGATGGTGGCCATCTTGCTAGGGGCATGATAAATTATCACCGTTCAGCGATTAAAAAACGAATCGTTTCCCTCGCAAGCCCAACAAGTTTAATGTGTAAACTTTTTCTGGTCACATAGTGCTCCAAGTGCGTCTTACCGTTACTAGTTTTTCTTAATGAGTCTCTAATTGGAGGCAAAGTTCCTTGAAGATTCTGTCATCTATACTCGTTTCTGTGTGTTATTTCGTCGGGAACAACAATCTTTTAATATAGAACTAACGTAACATTTACATAACATATCAAAGCCATTTGATGTTTAAGCAGGCACCATTAGAAAAGAGCCTGTTTCCGCCATCTTGGCAGTGGCAAAAGATGGCTTCACGTCTGCTGGCAAGTCATTGCGGGAGCTTCCACTCCAGCAATTTTGCTTTAATCCTCCTTGTTCCATCCTCTATGCAGCGATGCGACTATGGCGTCACCCAATCACGCGTTGGCAAAGCGAGCTCTTCGAAAACTGAATATGGCCCCCTGATGACGTCACTGTACAACTAAACGCGTAGCCGTTCATCCGACTGAACTAATTTGTTTCCCTGTCTTTCTTTGCCGTTTGCAGGTGAAGGTGGACGTAGCCGTGTACGTCTACGACAAGGAAGGCCCGACCAAGACACCCATCGCCTGCGTCATGATCCCCGTCGAGATTCTGTGAGTGGTAAACTAGGCCTTGCCGCCCCCACCACTGACGTCACACGTGTGGGTTCTGCTCGGGTTTCGGGTTCCTGTTGGCGCGCAAACCGACACTCGCCCGCCAGCAGCGATATCCCGTACAAGGCCCCCACCGCCGTATCCAGAGTCACACATAACTGTCGGAAATCGGGCCTCTAGGGCACACCATCCTTCGTCCCAAATGTCGCCCAGATCTGTCGTTTCCTTCTTTTTGGGCGAAAAGTTGAATCCGGACATCTACACTCCCGTCTGCCGAGATTCGACGGCCTTGGGAACACGAACGGTCGTGTCCAGACGACAACGTCAGACGTCATCGGACACGCGCATGCGCGTTGTTTTCTACAGGCGTTCGAAAACGGTGATAGCGAGTGCTATAGCTATCGCAAAAGGAGACAAAAAAAGATAGAAAAAAAAGAGAGAGAGAGAAACCAGCGTAATAGGGGGGATCTCCAGTAAAGGTTTCGCAGATACAGATAAACCAGAGGCTAGCGGGTTTCGACGCGCCTGGTATATCATGTTCGCTGTGCCTCCCGCCTTCGAAGAGCAGCACAGAGACAAGATGCTCGCACATCTGCCGCATCAGACTTCTCGGAAAGGAGGTTATCGCTGGGAAGAAGAACAAGAGGCGCATTCGCGCGCCCGGTCATCTGGTTTTTGCTTGTTCCGTAGGCGTGTCTTCATCGATAACGCCCGCCGCGAGCTGGCGTCGCAGTCCTCGCAGCACGCGGTCCTGTGCAGTGTCGCAAGGAACTAGCGTTTCCGAATCTCCCAGCAGTATTCTTCGCACGGTTCCTTGTTGCATTATCGCGGGTAGCAAGTGAAGGGGTTTGTTGCATGCAATCAGCAGAGCCAGTACGTCCGTACCTGCCGTGCTTACCTGACGGAAGCTTTCCCGTGGCACGTTTCATCTTCAGATAGCGATAACGGGAGGCAAGTGCTCTTATGGTCTGGACCACGCGAACTAAAAAGACAGCGAGCGACACGTGTGGGGTCTCGAAAATGAGGCACGCTCTCGGAACACGCACACAGTAGACGCGGTCGGACCCAAACCAACGACACATTCATTTAACTGCTTTTTTGAACGACGATATCGTCAGCCGAATGGGAGTACATAAGTTGCGATCAACGCACTAAAACAACCTTACACAATATTCCACAAAACTCAACAACATAACAAACGCAAGGAGGCGTCGCCAACTCTCAAACCGCCACACTAAAGTGGCCATAGAATAAAGAACCAATTGGGTGGCTATCCACCCTAGCCACACGCTCATCCCTCAAGTACCGCCAACCAAGCTTTCCGCCAGGCGTCACTGCCGACGTTAACACGGTAACCATGATGATACTGATCATGGAGTTTCATATTCATATGAAACTCTATGATGCTGACGGTGGTAATAAACACTAGCGAGCACAAGACCGCCCACCGCTGGATAGTGGTGCACCCGAAATGCTGCCTATGCACGAAACGGGTACGCCACGAGGCGCAAGCGACTTTACAGGGGGTGTAACGCTACGCCGTTATTCCGATTAGTGCACTCCATGCTAGTAAACAGGTGTAGGCGCCGTCGTAATACTGAAGCGCTTGTAACGTCGTAGCGGCGCGTTGGCTCCGCCCAGCCCAAAGATCGCCACTGTTCTCTACGATCACGTGACAACTGGCACATCAGCTGCGAATCTAGATGTTTCCTTGTGGTAAAAGCCAAGGGAGCAAATTGGGAATTACCTAACCACATTTTCTAATTTGTTTGTAATGCATTGTATGTTTGTTGTTTGATTTACTGTATGATGTACCCACTCCTTTTATAACTTGTCTATCGAGCCAGCAGTATCTGTATAAACAAGTAAATAAATAAATAAATAAATAAATGCCCTGACATTAAAGTCCACTCAATTATACATAATAATCGTCAGTTGCTGGCCGACACCGAGCCAAAAGACCATTTAGTCAGCATTTGACATAGCGGTGCAGTTTCGAAGCTTGCCAAAATATCACTCTATTGTTGCGTTTCTGGTCAATCAGCTGAGGGCCAATCGTGACCCCGTAAGCCAATCAGAGCCGCAAGATGGCTGCGGACGTTATCAGGCATGGAGGAAGGAATAATTGTGGGACAATGCGATGTTCATTTTTTTTTTTTCGTTTCCGCAGGGACCGGGAAGTTGAATGAGCCGATCGTCGACCTCGACCAGTTGGTGCAGTTGCTGGAGGCTCCTGGAGTGGAGCCCTGTTACACCAAAAAAATAAATAATTTAACAAACCTACCTACCAAGGTCCTAGTCTCTCTACTTGTCACACAATGGAATCGGTGCGCCCACTTACGTGCAAACACGGAAAAGTCAGATCAATGCATCAGAGCCAAGTGCGGGCAAGAGGGAAAGAAAGACAAATTCTTCGCGAGGTAGTGGAGGGCTCCGGGAATTCCAACTCCCCAATTCCTTAAAGTGCACACAAGTCTAAGCACATGGGCCTCGAGAGTTTTCGCCTCCATCGAAAATGCGCCCCCGAGTCCAGGATTCTGACCAGCGAACTGCGGGTCGGCAGTCGAGCACCATATAACCACTAGGGTAGAGAAAACCATAGAGAAAAAAAGAAAGAGTAAGCAAGTATCGCGTCATCCGGCGACCGCATACCGCACCATCTGGACAAGCCACGCCCACCGACGGTGACATCGCGCGTACTATACTGTAGTCCGAGGTTCCTCTCGAACCAAGACGTGTCCGTCGACGGGGAGTACGAGTGGCATCGGGCCCAGGTTTCGCTGCAGTCCAAACTGCCCGTAATATTATTTTACTCATTTTATTCTGTTATATGTTTGCCTGTAATCCCAACCACTAGCCTCACTAATGATCGTCAGTCCGCCTCGGTGGATCAGTGGCTAAGGTATCCGGCGGCTGCTAACCGGAAGGTCGCAGGTTCGATTCCGGCGCTGCAGTCGCATTTCGATAGAGGCGAATTAATAGCATGGTCGCAGGCAGAATTTTCTCTTCGTGGGTGTAAAACAGCGTTGCATCGCGTGTGGTCGAGGAGGAGAGCACTGGTGTAGCATGGGCGAGCTAGGAAACGTTAGGTCAGGACGATAGTTATAGCGCGATAACAGAACGACGACACAGAGAAAAGAAGGACACGAAGGAGTCGGGGCTTGCTTGAGAGAGGGGCAAGTGCCCCTTTTGCACCCTCCCCTGCCGATGCCCTTGATGGGTAGAGAGACTCGTGCACTGTCAGATAGTGGAAACTTCCGGAGCCCTCCACAACGGCGTCTCTCATAATTAAAACGCGGGTTTGGGACGTAAAACCCCACATATGATTATTAAAGAACATAAATGAAAAGTCGCAGAAAGCCTTATGCAACCGCCCAATTAAGACGTGCTACTCGGTGGCTAACTCATCGTCTTTATTCTTAGACAATGTATTAATAGCTTCGAAATCTTTTCAGCGCCAAAAAAGACGGAGACTAAAGGAAGAGACGTAGAGAACATGAGCGCAACATTGCACACATGCTGTCCACGTCTCTTCCTTTTGTCTCCGTATTTTTTGGCGCCAAGATTTAGAAGCTATGCGCGCATGTTGTCTACGTCTCGTTTTTTTGTCTCCGTATTTTTTGGCGCCAAGATTTCGAAGTTATGCATCTTTACCCACTCGCTGCACTCATCAATGTATTCACCTTCCCTGAGTCCCCTCCACAAACTTTTCGTACCTAACGTGGCTACACACAGCCTTCGAAATCGGAGGTCTTGCCTCGCCTGTTTTTGCACTGGCGTAAAACCAGGCAAAGCGTCGGCCCGCGTTGAGCCAACACCTTCTAGACTAGCTAAGCGCGATGACGTCACGTTACGCCAAAATTACGTACAGATGTTGGCGATCTATGACGTCATCGCGTGACATGTTTTGCATCATTCGTGTTGACGCCACCAACGATCAATTTTCGCGTTTGATGAGGCACGTCTTGAATCTTGGACGTGGTTTTGTCATCACACAGCCGACATGACTTACGAACACACCAGCTTCAAGATCAATATTCTATACTTCGAGGGCTTGACGATGGGCCTTACTATCAGAAAATGCTACGAAGAACACCGGACGCAGATTTATTGTTATTTCACAGTCTGACAAATAAAATTCAGAGCACGTGAAAAAAAGAATTCACGTGACCCTACATTTTTGTGACGTCCATCACGTAATCATTTCAGCCGGAGATAACCTTATTATGCATCATTCATGGCTGAATGACGCATATAAACTTATTTTAATGTAAAGTTATTTAAATCAATCACTGACATGTTTCGCCGCCCAAAGATACAAACTTACGTCAGTGAACCAGCAATAAAATTATCTCTTGCTAAAATCCATTTCGTGATGGACGTCACATTGGCAGGGTTAAGTGAATTCTCCATTACCACGTTCTCCTGGAATTTTATATTTATGTCAGGCAATGTGTCAACAAAACACACTGCATTAGCACTCCTGCTGTTCTTTGCAGTTTCCCAGGCATTAGCGCATTGACAATCCAATATAGAACAATAGCAATTGCTTTTAGTCTATATTTTTATGATAGGGAAGTTTCCTCCGTGGCTCTTTCGTGGTCAACATTAAGACTTACCAAGACAAAATGGGTTCAAACAAGTGCTGCTACAGGGAATTTCGAACTTGTGTCACTATAAGAACTCTTTTTCACATCTGCTCTGACTTACCAAGCAACTTCTTTCGGGCAATACTGGCTTTTAACATGAAAATTTTATGCTGCAGTCCACAATAGGGCTGCACTGACGTTTCCGACACATTTACGACGTAAAGAAATCGCAAAAAAAAAAAAAAAAGATCCGTCAACGGGAGTCGAACCAACGACCTCTTGTTCCGCAGCACGAAACGACTGGCATACATTGTTCAGCTCCCTAACAACAAGCTACTTATAGCCACCATATATCGCTAGCATTACTCAGAGATTGACGGCTTCACCTGCTCTAGTTTCACTGGCAAGATGGAGCAAAGTATCCGCAGGACGCGCTATAAAGGTCGTTGCCCCGCGTGTTACGAAGCATGTGCCTCCGCAGGGCGTGGTTGCCCACACTTATCTTGTGATCTTGGTTATTTGCAAGTCTTCGACTTAAGTTTCACCACAAGTATGTATTGAAGTAAGAGAGCACGAAGACCACTTCGCTCACTGCAGAAGCCGCACTTGCAAAAGGAGCACGCTGCTTACACAAAAATTGTAAAAGTTGCTGACGCTCGTCCTGTGTTCACTTGTGAGTCGTTCCATGCGTCCTTTATTGCGTTTGTGCAAAGCACTTTTTGTTACTTGCTTTGCTACTGCACAAAGTAATTCATCTTCAGTGTCCCTCCAACCTATACAAGCCTTATTTACACTTGGCTACAACCCCAATGAAACCTCGCAACCAGACATTGAACCCACAACATAAAGCAGCACAACTGCACCTCTGACCACCCCATGAGGCGACAGGAATGAAGAGCCAGTCAGCTTCGACACATTATCACACACCTTTTTACATTTATTTTACAAGTTGAAACTTGCACGACACGTGCACATTAGGGGTGAAACACACAGATAAATAGTGTCTTCCTTCCTAGCCAAGATGACTTGGAAACGGGTGGCAACGGCGTCTGCCGTGACGAAATGCGACAACACTTCCAGAGGATGAATGCAAACGGCTGACTGTGGCAAATGAGAGAGAGAGAAAAAAAAGAACGATGAAGAGGTGCTTGCTCACACCTTACATTTTGTAAGCTTAAAATAGTTATTGAAGAGATGGGGTGGGCTGGGGGGTGGGGTGACGAGACTCAGAATCATCATATTCATAATAATCTGGGCAACAGTAACAGCCATGTTTTTTTTCCTTAAGAGACCCAACTGACAGCTGGCTTCACTGCAGGCCGGATGAGAGGGCATAGGAGGCTCGTACTGCCGCTCAAGATTGGCTCTTTGATGCCTGTCGCCGCAACAAAATGTAGATCTTCTCTTTGATCCAAGCTTTGTTGTATGGTGCATATGTGTTGGTTGACTTCTGGTATCTGCACAAATTGAAACAGAAGGGGGGGGGCTTAGAGTAATGAAAGACCCTGCTTTACTGATTTTATGTACTATAGAGTCAGACACAACGTAAAAAGTACATAGAGGCCCTCATGCCCATATGAGTGAAGTGGGCCAGTCTATTGGCTCCCGCAACTAAAGAAATGGTCCTGCTCATGCATTTAGCAGTGTTTTACGAAGGCAGAGCCACTGGCTGTCCAGCTCAAGACATCAGTTTAGTGTGTGCACTCATCGATGCAGGCTTGTGTGCATATGCCTTTGAGAGGAAATGATGTGGACTTCAGTTGTATCTAATTATGTCAACTTTCAACTCTAACAAAAGTGAACCAAAAGTTAACACGATCAAAAGTCATCCGAGACATGTCCATAAAGTTAATGTATCGACAACACATGCGTATGAGGGCAAATCCAAGATCCTCCCCATTGAAGTGTTGGCTTCAGCAACAATCCCGAGTCCCTTGGCACCAGGAAAATGTAGTGTGTGTGTGGGGGGGGGGGGGGGGGGGGGGGGGAGGGGGTTCTCCAACATCAATTTAAATGCTCACGAAACACCAGTTTTAAGTATAGTAAGTGTCACCCAGCGACTAGCTACGTTAGTTCTGCAGTTGCGAAATCTAAACCAGTAAAGAAGCACTGACACAAAAATGTTACTTTTATTTTTTCTGTTGCAATAGGTAGCTCATGACCAACTAATCACGGCTAGAAATCTCGTCTGCGTGAGTGTGTGCCGTTTATTTATTTATAGACGTTTTTAGAGCGCCCAGTCGCTGTTTCTGTTTCAAAGATCATCGAGCTCGTCGAGAGCAGTTCCGGAGGCAAGGCAATTGCAGCTGGCCACATGAACATGCAAAACTGTGACATAACCGGTGTGCGCGAGTAGGCGTTGCCTTGACAATCAGCGCAGTCAGCACACGCAAAGCCACAGGCACAAAGGAAGAAATAGAAGGTAGTACAAGCTCAAGGCTCTTGCCAGCAACCAGCCAACACAAACCCGTGACATGTTTGTTTAGATTGCTGCCACGTTGATGTTGGCATCATGAGGGTCTCTGCATCTCACTCTCTCATTGGAACGCTATACTCCCACTCTGTCATTGCAATATGCTTACTCCAAAAGGAGCAGAAGAAGTTGCTCCGACTCTGCTATTGCAGTTCACACCAAGACTCCCATGGTGAGTCGAACATTGGAACCCCCACATTTTCATTACATTACGTGTTTTATGTTAGTGTCTTGTATTAGCATTATATTGTGCTATTTGGCATGTTACTGTGCTTATTAGCAACATTCGTCTCGCAGGTTTGTTGTTGTGTAATAGTGATTAATAAGTGCCCTTGCCTTCATAACAATTTCATGTGCACAGCGTTCAATGTCCCATGGGTTGCTCTTTCAGGCCACACACCGTGCAATTTGCCTACAAAGCTTGTAAAAGAAGGTTGCGTAGTGGCTCAAACGTAATAGTACTTAACTGCAGACCCAAAAAATGAGAGTTGGATTTGAGCTATGGCAGTCGCACTTCGATAAAAGCAACGCGCTAGGGGCGAGTGTACTGTGCGACGCGAGCCTACGTTAAAGGGACACAAAAGTTGAACAATGAATGGGCTCAGATTAATAAAGCGTACTCTCAGAACTAATATCAATAAAATCAAGTTTTACTAATAAAGAAGAAAAACAAGGTCAAAGTTACATTGTTGAATTTCACACCAACATCTGTGCGATTTATGTCACAGATTCATGTGTCCGATTTTCGCGACATTGGCTCAAAAAAATTACTTTTACGGCCCCCTGCAAAAGTCAATGTGCTTCCTTTTTACCGATTAGGAACTACGTCCGTAGAAAGTAGTATACACAGTCAAAATCTATGAGTTTACGTAGTTTGGCACAGAAATTTCAAGATGGCGTTGCCACCTGCATTTTCTATTTGCGGATGGCTTGCTGGGCAAGATGGTAATGCATCACGAAAGACTACAGTGCGCATATAAACAGGGACGAAGGAAGAACACACAAGACAGAGCTGATTCACACAAGGTCAGTGGTACGTCTTGTGTGCTCTTCCTTCCACCCCATCTCTAATGTGTGCTGCAGCCTTTCATGGTGCATTTCCTTCCTTAAAAGTGTGTTCTAGCAGTAAGCGTTGAAGTTTTGCAATTGCTAAAGAGTAAAACAATACTACGGCAAAAATAGTTAATCTCTTTAGTGTCCCTTTTGGAAAAACTCCAGAGCCTCCCATTGCTCAAATAGCCTCTTTGGAATGCTAAACCACACGAACCGCGTTTTTGTAAAAAAAAGTGCACCTCCGTGATGCAGACACACACTCACACGAGACAACTGAGGTCCACCAGCTGGTCCACAAAGTCAAACAGCTGGCTGATGTCGTAGGTGATGGAGGGCGTGTTAGGGTTCTGCCGCTTCAGGTGCTCCTCGTATATGTGGCACACTCCCTCCATGCACTCGTTCACCGACTCGTAGTCCGAGTAGGTGCGGGTCTCCGGCTTCCCGGGCTGGACTAGCAGGATGGTGTGAGACTGGAAAGAAGTGCCACCAACCATTAGCCAGGTAATTTTATGTGCACTGCAGAACGAAGTGGCCACATAGTAGTGGGCTAGCAAGCAAATCCGCCTAAAAGAAGCCCCAAAATTAGAATGACTATGGCAAAGAGTGCCACGGTTTTTATAGTTATTGGCACAGTTTACGACGCAGCAATTCATACGCAACATCGTGAAGCGCTGCTAAGAACCTGATATGTCTCCTCTCTTGGGTCGGCTGCTGCACGGAGCCCGCCATTTCTTTTCGTTTACTCCCACACTGCAGCACCACCAGGTCCCCCCAATGCACATTTCCTATATCACCAGAAAAATCATCCTTCACTTTAGTGTTCCTTTCGTATCAACTAGATTATCAGTTACCACTGTTCACTCACCAATTACGCTAGCTCCCAATCTTTTATTATTATGCCTGTTGTTGCAGTTTAACTGCAAACTGTGGTCCTGAAGGTTCTTTTTATGTAGTAAGAAAAATGCACTCACTCCAAGGGCCGCATTTCCGTAATGAACCGATTGAACTTCAAGGGGATGTTGACTTGGATGCGGAGGCAAACCTAACTTGAAAAAGCGAAGCTACCTTATCAACTAGATAAGCACACACATTAGACCATTGTTTCTTTTGCCAGGCTTCACGCTTGAATTGACGATTTCCGAAAATCTGCAAGAAGGTTTTTCCCGCGATGATATTTTCCCATTAAAACTCTAGAAACGACAGCTTTTTTCGGTCAATTCTCACGCCTTCCACCGGAGCGCCCCGCACGGCTATTATTCAAGTACCAGAATGTTGCGCCCGAGTTCTACTGTGTAAAAAGTGACAGGAAAGGCAGGGACGGCTATTTGAATGGAATGAATGGTCTGCTAGTTTGTGGTCGAAGTTAACTAATTGCAAGGTATTATTGCGCACGAATGCGCAGTCAATTTTGCAAATGTACACTTGCTTCCACGAATTGTTTCGGCAGGTATACTGATGGGTTACTTCTCGGCGCTTACTAAACTTGCCCTTTATTGCTGTACTGGTAAAAAAACTACATAATAGGGGTCCTTACGTGGAATACGAGGCTGCCTACAGCCCAGATCGTACCAATCTAACGTATGTCATTATGTCACAAGACGCGTAAAAGTTGGAAAGGTCGCTTCTTCCAGGGTCAATATATCGAACGCCGGTTACAAGCGCATTAGATATCTTTGGAGCGCGCTTAACTAGATCGACCAGAGGCATGGCTGAGCCGAGGAACGTATGCGCGACTGTCGCAAGTGCAAACCGGAGCGCACAACAGAATTTCTCGCTCGTTGCTACACAGAAACCTCATGGATAGAGGAAAGCAAAACCGGGACCCACGAACGCCGGTTTAGGCTATACAAATGGTCGCTCCGACAAACTTTACGCGCTCTCGCAAAGTACGCACTTCAGAAAAGAAAGACAGGACTCTATAACAAAGCACCAAAGACACGGGAGAGTTTACTAATGGCACACTTGGGAATATTAAAAGTTTATTAACGCAAGCGTCTTAGGCTTAGCTCAAGCTCGCCGCGCCTTGGGCAACGCAGTTTCGTCTCGACACGGGTGCAACAACTAACGACAATAATGCCGGGCAGCGTTACCATTATTTAAGGCTTACCATGATTGCCAGCCCGTTGGCGAATCGACGAGCCCGGCTGTTATGCGGTTCGGACGAATGGAAAAAAAATCGACGAAATAAATACAACGCGAGCAGCACAGAACACCACACTCGCGTCCACAAACGACGATTATCGCGTCACGAACTCGGCGCACGCGCACACGAAATCGATGATGATGATGATGACGCTCCCGGGTTGTTGGCATTTGCAGGCGCTTATCGTCTGTTTTCGATGTTAACCCTTTTCAGTAGCAGACGACGCGACGAAAATCGGGAAAACCAACAGTGCTACTGCTAATCGATGAGGGGAATTAACTGGTTTATACGTTGTGAAGCTATTCGATGGGTGTACACTTCGTATTCAAAGCTGCATCTTACTAGACGTGTTTTATGCGATCTTTGTTTTCCTTTTACAATTCGAGTGATCAATCATACCGCAAGCGTTTGAAAACTGCAGAATTTTTTTGGGCGCGAGCTAACCCCGTAGATGAAACCTTGTCAATGTGCTGAAGATAAACACTTTCTTCTCGTAACAAGGATGAAAAATATTGCTGAATTCGCTGTATACGTGTCAAAAGCTGCAGGCGCCGGAAAGAAAATATTCCAGCTATGCGAGATTGACTGCTGGCACAGGCTACCATGTGCATGATGGCGGCCCAGATGTAACGTATGGTTGCCGCGGCCGAGAAAGAGCCGGGAAGACGTTTCATGTATTGCGGCGCCCTTCGGAGACGCGTAATTATTGTTATCCGCAAGCACGAGATGATAGCCTCCGTCGGCCGCCAGCGTTGACCCAAGGAGGCTCCACGACGAACCGCGATGGCGGACTTTGTGATGCTTCTAGCGCTCGCTGGAGCGATGTTCCTCGGCAGCTACATGAGTGGAATGGTTCCGTTATCGGTTCCTCTAACGGAGGTATGTGGTTGTTTCGTTCGATCGCGCCCTTGTCATCGACGATCGATGCCTCAAGTGTCGCAGCTCGTCAAGTGTTGCGAGTGGTTTGTGAGGGACCGACGCTGGGCTGGCGAATCCAGCAACTGGCCAGCTCGCAAGAACATCTGCTGCGGATCTCATTCGTGGGTTTGTTGTTGTCTCGTGTACGCAGGCTCGGCTGCACTTGGTGTCTGTGTTCGGCGCCGGGCTACTAGTGGGCACGGCGCTTAGTGTCATCATCCCCGAAGGCATCAGCACGTTGTACCTGACGCAGATCAGTGAGTTCTCATTTTCACGACCTTGAAGACAGCGTTATAGCAGCGTGGCGACGAGCGGCCCCGGCTGTATCTCTTTCGGATGTTAATCGTATTCCGCGCTTCGTCGTCTCCTACGGGCCCGCAATCTTTCTGGAACGAATGCAGCATGAGTGGTAGATTGTGTAACGCCAGTTTCGCAAAGACGGCAGGTGGTTTCGCTTAACCGTTCGACACACCTTGGCAGCTTAAACGTGCAGCACAACTAAGCTTTTTCTCAGCCACGAATACCGTTGTACTTGATGCAACCCCAGGTGGTCGAAATTAATCCGCAGTTCCTAACTATGTACGGCATTTCTTGTGATCGTATCGTGGTTTAGAACACATAAAAGGTGGCTGGTTTGAATGTAAATTGATTTTGAACATTGCCTGTCTTGTCATCAAAGCCATGCTAGAGCTGTAGGGCTGCCCGTCGGAGTAGACCTGCTGCTTTTACAAAGGTGGTAGCCAAATATAACGTCAGTTATAATAAATGTGATAGGTTGTTCATGACGATAGGTTTGCTTTCGTTTCATCTATCGCCTCTCTAGGCCAGTAGCAAACTTCAGTTTTTCCGAGGAAGATCATAGGACACGTTTTCATAATATTTAGTTCTTTGATATTGCTTATTCTGTTCGCACTTTTCTTGAAGTGCACTGTTATGCAATTTCTCGTGATTATTGTCATTGGCACCCATGCCTGTAATAATTACATTCATTCATCGAATGCAATCTTTGGCTGCCAGTGAAACACTTTGCGTTGTACTGCTTTGGTGTAAAAGTTCATACAGAGAGACAGTAAACAGGTCATTGTAAATATGTGGTGTAATTTAGCGGGATAGGGCTATGAGCACCCCAGTGAAGGTAAAACGGACTTGGCTTAGTAATAAAGCATCTCTGCTGTTGGGCTGCCAGGGTTTTCTGAAGTCGTAGACCTTCACTGCAAGGCTAAAGTCACAGCACAAGCACACCAGACGCCCCACAATGAGAAGACACAACACACACACAGCACTTGTGTTTTTATGCTGTAGCATTAACTTCAGTAAAATATGCACCAACTAGGTTAAACTGAAGACTTACTGAAGTTTTCTGTACTCATCAAAACTGACTTAGCCTCGTAATAAAGGTTCTCTCGCTGCCCGCGTTGGTATGCACTAGAGTAATTTGAACTGACTACCTACGAAGACTGTTTTGTTAAAAAAGTTGGGTGACTGTAAACGAACGACACTATGCAGAGGAGCTGGTGCACGAAGCACAGACCGAGGCGCAGAACGGTCACAAGCTCGGCGACGCCACCCTGACCGCTGCCAGTGGAACGAGCCACCACGGCCACTCACACGAGGACGAGCTGCACGGCAAGCTCGAAGCGATCGACCCCCGCAACCTGGTCGGCATAACGCTGGTACTGGGCTTCCTCTTCATGCTGCTCGTCGACCAGCTCATCTCACAGCACAAGCATCACAAGGCTCTGGCCATGGCTGTTAGTGGTAGGTCGTCTTCGATGAACTTTGCCTTCATCAGTTAACCCTCTAACGCCTGAATTATGGGACTGCCAAACAAAATAAAAATTTTCATTTTACAGCTTTGAACAACTTTTAAATGATTATGCAGTTAAGCTGTCTAAAATGCAACTTTAATCCATACTTCTATGTCGGTCGCGAATTCTTCATATGCCGTAGAAGCGAGGACCTTACAACAAAAAATTTACTTCAGAACTACGTAACATTTTGTGGGCCACATCTTGGGTGCGTACACACCAAATAAACCAAATTATTGAAGATAGAACTTACGTCATCCAGGCGAGAAAAAAAACAAAAGTGAGAGCTGTTGCACGCGCTTTGTGCTCTCCGCCATCAGCTACAAAACATTTGGTTCTAGCATAAAATACCCGAGACGAGATGGTGGTAGATTTTTTCACGCTGAAAACTACATTCCCCGTTAGTACTTGACAGCCTGCATTAAAGGTGGCACGCATTTCGTTACTTGCTTGCTCCACTTTTTTCGGTATGTCACAAATTCACGACACTCAACGGTGAAGAGTTAATGTGTGACACCATACTTGGCTCCAACTTGCGGTTTGAGAGGGAGGGGTGACACGTTGCCTCGGAGACGCAGGGGCTAGGTGAAATGGATCCGACGGAGCATGTGGGCAACTGCTGGGCGTCACTTCACTTATTTCTGCCCGCAATAGAACATTTCATGTTGAATGTCTTTACTCGTGTTTCGTTAACCTATTTGTAATGTGTGACAGTTTTATTTCATCCTTTTGAACTTATTCGATGTGTGTAGGCCAAGAAAGCAATGAGGAAGCAGTGTTTTCACCTTGCACAACAGGGTACAAGTCGTGTGCTCAAGTAACTCATCATTTTCCATACTGAGAGAAGAAGGGTCCCTTAAGGTATGAAAGAATGTCACACCTCACAAACTTCGGATGTTGCACTCTACCTTTGCGAAATGCCCTTTGAGCCACATTCGGTGTTCGAAACCCAGGAGATGTCTACCGTGCTTTGGTTCACACGCTCCGGAATTCGTTTCTCTAGAAAGATGCACCGCCTACTACATTTCCAGACTGCCCAAGCTTTGTGTCGAAAGAAAGGCATGGCAACGTCGTGGTTTTGAAGAAGCAATGTCAGCGACACCTGGAATCCTGTGATCTGGTTTTGGGTATGGACTCTGCAAATGTGTTTAGTGGTTGATGGCCCCCCTTGGCGCAGTGCCATTTTTGAGTGTATACGTGAATCTGACCAAAATGCCGCCATGGCTTCATCGCGTTGAATCACCTCTCTAATCTACACCATGCTACAGCCTGAAAGAAATGGTGGCTCCGTCCACAAAACAGCGTTGTGCCTGCCCTTCACATCAGAGAGACGTAGATGGTTTCCACTCGAATCGCAAGTACTTTTTCTCGGCTAACCTAAATATTACCCAGTTAAAGATCTGGCATTGCTACCTAAAGCATATCATTTGGCTTAGCAGCAATGTCAGAATCTCTGATGAAGTTTGCCAGGACATTGAAGATTCTGTTCTGAAGCTAGCAACACAAATGTGCACCTCTACTGAAAAGTCAGCTACCTGAAGCACTTGAGAAATGCTTGATGTCACTTTAGTGAATAAAAGCTATTGGATGGAGCATTTGTGCAAGTTCTTTGTGGGAAAGGCAGTGATGACTGTGCACCGAGCTGACACTTTTTCGTCGGTTGTAATTGAGTATGCACTTTGTTGACTGAGGCTCCCTGGACACTGCCATAATCCTCTCTTGGCAGTTGATAACACGAGTGACTCCCCAAAAGTGCTCCGCGGAAGCTGTGGCATCAGCTATTGTGCTCCCGTGCAACAGAACAGAAAGGAGGTGATCCTTCTCTAACGAGGTCTATAGACGAGGTTGAATAGACGAAAACAACACGAGTGCAAATCTCATCTCGTTTATCCGACAAAAGAACAATGCATCATCGTTGCATGCACACCGGATGTCGACTAAACACGTGGTCATATTGAGACGCTGCACCCGTAAGTGTGTCACAGCCAATCGCCTATGTTGTCTTGAAACGAACTGCTCTGATATGGTTGCCTGTTTAATTCACCATTCACTTGGTGTTTGTGGCATCGTCCTTGACAATAGTACACATAAGTGGCAAATAGTCGCGTCTCCAAACGAGAACGTTGTGTCGCAAAGGGTTTTACCGTGAAGTAGCCAGTGAGTCGACTGTAATGTCCATGCTGCGTGTTTTTGTCTTGTTTACCTCTCTCCTGGTGTCCTCAACAAAGCTAACAGATGGAACCAGTGACTGTGCAATGTTGCACGTTTCTTTCTTCTCTGCAGACCCTGAAGGATCGAATTCGGTGCACACGCAAGGGCGGAGCTTCACAGCCACCTTGGGCTTGGTGGTCCACGCCGCCGGTTAGTATTGATGGTGCCCCATCACGATTCGAGAATCTTGCCTTTTGGAGTGGAGTGATTCCTTAATTGTAATGAATTATAGGATGTGACGAAGAAAATGTAAAAATGGTCTTGCTCCTTCGTCATTACCAACTGTTTTGTTGATGTTGCATTGTGACTGCGTAAAAAAGGGCATTCAAGACGACAGAGAAGATGCCATATCTTCTAGAATCATCAAATGACACCGGTGTATCGTTTTGCCCAATCATTGTAATGCTTCAATGCTTACCAATACGATTTTGTCAAATATGGCATTTGTCTTCTAGTCGTCTTCTGTGCCATATTTCATCATACCTGGTGCAATGAAACAAGTCAACTTGTTATAACAAACTTTGAATTCATACAAAAGTATTTCTTGTTAGGTGCATAATTTTTATAGTTACGTGCATTGAGAGGCGATTTTGACTAACTCTGTGACCCTGCTGGTGCTGTGACTTGTGTTGCTGTGACTTTGTGACTGAAGCTTTGTGACTACTTTGGTGTAACACAGATGTCAGGATGCCGAATGGAGCCCTCAGATTTGGCATTCGTCCACCCTATCGATTAGAGAGTCCGAGTTTTGGCCACGCGAATAAAAATGCATGTCCCTTTTCATAGAATGATTGCAATTATCTGCCACTGCATATGACAGCACGTGATTGTTATTTCTCGTGAAGGCATCTGTACTCCCCTGGCGTTCATTACTTTCTTCAGGCAATGATTATTGCTACACTTAGCATGCATTTGTTGGTAGGCTTTTCCTTTGATCTGTAATATAAAACTGGCACTACAACAACAATCTAGAAGGTACATCACATGCTGTCTGGTGTATCATCTGGTTTACATTGATGACTAAACTTTGTTCTTTTCACATTTTAGCATTGTGAAAGCTTTTCTAGTCAAGTCACACTAGATGTGATCAAATTCTAACTTCAAGCGACTTTGTTCTCAGCCGATGGCGTGGCGCTCGGGGCAGCGGCGACAACGTCAAACCTCGACACCGAGGCTGTCGTCTTCCTGGCAATAATGCTTCATAAGGTGAGAAGCTTTTGTGTGGTCTTTGTGTGCTGTCATATATCGCTTTATCCTTGCAGGCGTACTCATAATACATACTTTTAGCTTTCTCTATTGCATGTTTTGTGTTTCCTCTAATACAGTACTCGCAGACTAAAACATAACATTGCCAGCTCTTGGTATGACGGCTGGTACACACATTTTCTTGAGATAACCGCTTTGTGTTGCCACATATCTTGCCGCTAAATTTATGTTGCCTCTGAGCCAAAACTAAGCACATGTGACAGGAATTGAATACAGTGGCAATGAAAGTGAGCACTGTACATGTTTTCATGTATAGTGCTAGAGAACTTTCGAAAACATGTACATGTTTACGAAAGTGAGCACTGTACATTTCAGGAGCACTGTACGTGTTTGGTCTCAATTTACTGAGTATGGGTCGCCAAGTGCTAAAGTACAACAAGTGCTTCTTTCCTCATTCTGTGCCATGCTGGTTTACATTTCTGCCTGTGCAGCGCTGAGAGTGTGTACAGTACTCATAGATGGAAGCGGTACAATTTAGGGCCGAGTGACGCACATACTTTCGTTTGCACCGTCTTCAGGTCATACCGGCGTAGTTTCTGCTTGAAAACTTAGATCAGAGCCAGCATTATGTTTGGAGACCAGATTCGTCGCGGATCTTGAGCAACTGCACAAACCAGTCGCCATGCTAAAAAATTGGATGTTGCGTTTGAATCCGCGAGTACTGTACATAGTGGATTTAGTCACTGCCCATGTGGTGTAGAATTGGTATGCACGCTGCATTGGGCAGTATAGAGTGACTTTAGTCCTAGATGAACCATATGTAGGTGTTAATTTACTACCTGTGCCCTGCACCTTATTCTGTTCGCAGGCACCGGCAGCGTTCGCCCTGGTGTCATTCCTCATGCACGAGACCGTGGAGCGCTCAACGATCCGCAAGCACTTGCTCGTTTTCTCATTGGCAGCGCCATTACTAGCCGTCATAACGTTCCTCGCAATAAACAGGGTGAGAGGCTGTTCTATTTCTTTCGTTGCACTATCCGTCGGTATCCGAGTGCAAATAGCCACCTTCCGCGTTGTGTCGGCGTTGAACGGGCATGGCGTCGATGATTAGGCCTCAGGAAAAGTACATGGACAGCATAGCGTGCTTTTGCTCTCCGTGCTTTCAGTAATCACGGGGTTGTCTTCCAGACTATAACCCTGTTTGTTGATATTAATTTGCCTGACCTGCCACGCTTGTCGACAGTTGGACTGCAGCCGGACTTGGTTGTAGCACATGTGGCCATTAATTAATTAATACAGTCATTCATTCACACTGGGCATAAAACACTGTATCAAAATTGCTTTGCTGAACTCTACTTATTGTTGTTTTACTACATGAATTCGAATGATAGCTCGCGGATTGGTCCCATTTTTGTAGTTGCGGCTTTGGACATTCCTATGGTGATGCCATAGCGCCTCATAGTCGCTTGGGAGCCCAAGAAAACTGCATTTTTATACGGACATCACTATTTTGAACTAAATATTGCATTGAAATATTTTGCAATCGGCATGTTTAATCTTTACTGATGCGAGTAAAATAACAACTGGGCACTTTCATTTTCTTTTCATGACCCCTTTAATGAATTGCCACCCCTAACTGATTCAGTACACATTACTTGTGCAGAATTAACGAAACAAAACCTTTATTTGTCAGTTTATAGGAACTTATTTCTTGTCATGATAATTTATGTAATGTTTCTTGGTCATATTTCAATTTGCACTAGCCCAAGTCATTATGTTGCCCTAAGTCGGCCATTCATACAACCGCAGCTGAAAAACAAAACTGAGCCCTATCACTAGCAATTCGATAAATGTACTCTACAGAAAGGTCTGGCGCTAATGTCTGCGGAAGTCAGCATGTGAATGATGGGTAGCACATGGGTTTGGTTAAGCTTTGTGCAACCGAAACGCTGTGCAAATGAAAATAGGCGACTTTTGTTTTGCGTCTAAGTGTTTAAAAATGCGGTAGTGCCGGGCACATCAGATTTTTTTTCTTTTTTTTAAAACATAAACAGCTCTTTTCAGAGCTCGTTAACGATGCATTTGCTGCATTGAAATGAGAATACTTTACTCCTGCCGTGACCCTCTCCGTCAGCAAAACATACCCATTAAAGAAGTGTGTTTTCGCTTGCATAAGTTTTTCCGGACTGCCCGATTTTCCGGATGTTTTCGTGGTCCCTTGAGGTTCTGGGAAAACGGATGTCAACTTTATTCACATTAGCCGAAAGTAAGCACTCAAGGTTTGAGCAGAAACCAGCCGGCACCATTGTTCCTTGCAGGTGAAGGCCACGCATGCTATGGTGGTGTGGGCGGACCTTACGTTTTGCCTGTGGTTATAACCGTGCATAATAAATTGGAAACTCTATGTATGACGCCCCTGCACTCGTGTTCTAGGGTGCCCCCCAGTCCATGGCGTCGCAGAACGCAACAGGAGTGGCTCTGCTCTTCAGCGCCGGCACATTCCTTTACGTGGCCACGGTGCACGTGCTTCCCGAACTGGTGGTGCGCCACACCACACACCAGGCGGACAACAGGGGACGCCTGAACACCCCGCCGAACGAGGGCTTCACCAGGACAGACGTGCTGGCCATCGTCGTCGGCACGCTCTTGCCCATGATCCTCACGGTCGGACACCACGGTCACTAGTCGTCGTAAGCTAATCGCCTCGTTAAAGTGCATCCCGTGCTCAAAGTGACTCTGATTGCCGGTTCGTCTAATGTGGCAGAGGACGGACAAAGCCCGCTTTGAGACGATCGGCGGATCTCCTCGGTTTTTCGACCGGCAGTTGTCACCGACGGACCGATGTTAAAAGACACCCGTTATTTTTTACGGACACTGACCTATTCTTTGTCGATGAGGACGTGCGCGCTTCAACAAGCGTGGAACAGTGGCGTGTGTGACGATAATGTGCCGCTCATGCGCAACAATCCACATCACCGCAGATTCTTCGAGGAAGGACGAGTTTTTGTGGCAAAGTCGTCTGTTCCTCGCAATATGTCGCTTGTAATTATACAATTGTGCATTTTCGTGCGTATTGCCCGGTTTTTGTTCTTTCCCAGAATACTGGACGCCCGGTCACGGCTGTACATTCCGAAGGAACGATGCGCGGCCAGGAAATCAATCACCTTGTTTTCCGCATTATTTCTCGATTGCGACGGTATGTTCTCGTGATATTGCCGTTTCTTCCTCAAAATACTTGCATTGTATGCATTCAATGCCAGTTCAATGCAGACAATAAAAGACACCTATAATATCTTGTGTATAAAAACAGGATGGTTGCTCATTGTAACAAGGTATTCGTCATTTGACATTGCCTCGTCCACATTTTCCGGCTACAATGTGTATGTGTGAATCACCCAATGGCAGCTACGTTTAGTTTTTGTACTGCTTAGAATGTTATATCTGGGGCGATTTTTTTATCCCAAAGTTTATTGGAACGTACCCCATGTCTAAATGAAGTATATTTACAAAGTATGGAAGTGTACAACCTTGAAAATTTTGTCTAAAACCAGAAATAAATGTACAAATTGTCAAACATTCCTCTTTTTAATGCCTTAAGATAACACATCTCCTGTACTGCCACTATGCCCAACACTGTTTGTGAATGAAAACTTTCAAATTTCATTGGAGGAGCTTACAAACAAGCTTGTTCATTATACTTGTGAAAGAGAATGTTTCTTTGACATACGAGTTTCTTGTCCATTTAAATTTATATTCAGTGCGGTTAGTACGACATATTCAATTTCACTGAAATAAATTTCTGCTTGGAGTTGTGTTTTTTTGGTTTTCGCAACTAGCCCCTGATAGTTAACGAGAATCGAAAGTACAGTACTCATTGACTGAAACGTGACATAGTTTGGTGCGAGAAATTCATTGTGATAAATGTGTCATGGTTGCTGAAAATCTGACCTCTAATTGTAATTTTGGCTCTGATATAAGTGTTCAAGCCAAATTCATGACCATATGACATGAATTGTGAATGCTCGAAATGGAAGTACACTCAGAGCTTGTTATAACGAAGTCACATCTTCCACCAAAAGATTTCGTTATACATACCATAAAATTCGTTATAAATGTATATTCATAACACTATCTGCTAAAGCTGCATTTTGGTTATTTTGTTATAACAGATAATTCGTCATATCTGTGCTCATTATGTCGAAGTATATGTGCATTACTTAGCACGAAATTTTCTTGTGGTTCAGAGGTATTTACATAGCATAAGCACCTGGTACAGTGGTTTATTCTTGCAATGTTATTTCAGAGAGTGTTGCACTGATTTGATGAACACAATAATTCGATTTCCAAGCTCTCCCCATGTAACAAAAACCTTCTGAAGGCTGCATTTACACTGGCTGTGGGCACCAAATGTGATGACGGCAGTCTAAATGCACGTCAGCTGCTTTGTACACTACCTATTGCTATGCACGCTAGAGAAACTTATTGCCTTCGTACATTTTGGAAAGAAAAGAAAAATGCAGACTGCTTGGATATTTCTAGAAAGATGAAGTGTAATACATAGCAATGTGTAGAGAGGCAAAAGTGTGTGAATTCAAATGCATAAATATTAGACGAATCCAGGCACACAACGGGTCGTTCCCATGGTGAGTGAGCAATCGCAGCTCCTCATATCCACGCTTCAGAGAGTTCTGCGCAGGCTACGTTTTACAAATTTGAGACAGAATGCCGTGTACAGTATTGTTACTGCTTTGCTGAGTGAATGGCAAGCATGCAACATTCTGGAAGCATGTTCTGGAAGCACCATGTACATGATATTGCATGCAATCAGACTCCAAAAAAGAAAAAAAATGTGGGCTTCCTATTAACTTTACCGTTGTTTTTTTTTGTGCAAGTAGTACATCCAACAGCAAAAGCTTACAGCACATTACTTATTCGAATGTCTACTCTTATTAGTGCATACATTTCCAATCTAGGTGGTGGTTAAAAGGTTCGAATGCCAACTACAAGCTGGAACACTTACATAGAGCTCACGTTCCCAGACAAAGTGATAATAGCTTTCTCAAAGATTTGGTATCCCACAGCCTTTCTATGTTGGCTGTTTAACTACATAACACTAACAGGCAGAAACCATGGCCGTCACTACATGATCTACACACTACACCCAAACCTCTGTTTAAAGAATGCGGATATAACGTAGTATAGGTTATAACAATGTAACAACAATCATGGCTGTCACTAGATAATCTACACACTAAACTTAAACCTCAATCTAAAGAATACGAATATAACGAAATATTGGTATAACAAAGTAACATAACACTAACTCGGGCAGAAATCATGGCCGTCACTACATGATGTACACACTACACTGAAACCTCGATCTAAAGAATACGGATATAACGGAATATTGGTTATAACAAAGTAACATAACACTAACTCACAGGCAGAAATCATGGCTGTCATTACATTATCTACAAACCACACTCAGACCTCGTTTAAAGAATACAGATATATAACAAAGTAACTGAAAAATACTTCTGGAATATAGCGTTAGAAATATACTCTTACAATGATTTTTCCAATATAACTAACTTACTTTCATGTAAGATGCAACTTTGTTATGAGGTTTGAGTGTACGATACTCTGTCTGCACTGCGCAAATTCTGAAAGGACCACTTTGCAGTTTAAAAAGCTTTTAAAAGCAAAGCACTATGAGATTATTGGAAGTTAAAATGATGAGAAGGAGGCACTGCAGGACACGTGTTACACAGTATCTTTCTTTAATACCAACATTCAATATGCATGGACCCTGGCTCACTGAAAACCAGAAATACAGACACCCGGTTTTCGCATAGAGCCTCAGTACTGTACACAAATGAACGATGAAATAAGGCTTACTGCAATCGCTCCTGAATTGAAAGTGAGGTACAAATTTTGCACTGCAAGTTGGCAAACGATGCACCGACGATTCCGCATGTGTTGACTGCAACGTTGAGCTTGCCTTCGTGAATGTGTAGGTCATAAGTGTTCAATATGAGCCTATGAACAGCCCCTGTGGAGCAACTTCAATGCTGGTTGACGTGCGACGCTGCCCCTGCCGGCATTTCTGTTACCCAGACTGCACAAAGTGTCGGGGCGCCTGCTCTGTCGAAGACTGCACTTTGAGAGGGCGAGCTGAAATCGAATACTGCTTCGACAAATGTGGCAAATGTCTCGGTTAGCAGCAAATGCATAAATGGACTATCCTGTCTGGGGAAACACACGCACAAAAAAAAAAAAAAGATTTGTAATGCATGCCATGAAAAGGAGCAAATATACTCGTTCTTCCAAACCTGATCAATAGAGCTTCGATTTTGTGCTCGCAGTACCTAGCCGCAACCTGTTCAAACACGTTTCAACAACAGTTAGAGTAATTCAAAATTCTAATTGTAGTAATAATGACTGAAATCAGCACGATTGAACACACGTGCTCCAGAGATTAAAAAAAAAAAACAAAGAAAAACAAACCTTGGGCTGTACTGGTTTGTGGCAGATATGTAGACTCCTTTCAATGAGGTGCCTAAGCTACAGGTAGGCATTGGCACTTTAACGAAGTCAAAAGGTGCTGCTGCTGCATAAGTAAAAATTTTGCAGACAGACTCTGCAAAGATTCACGACTGCCCACTGTGAGAACCGCGACTCTGCACTGAAAAACTAGAAACCGAACGTGATGTGCTCGTAAAACTGACATGACCTAAGATGTGATGGCGACAATGAGACCATGTGCGGTTAAAACTTTCGACGCTTCCCATCAACCTGTACCATTTTTATGAAAGTGAATGCTCTAAGTGCAGCTGACAGCACAGAGCTTTCTTAAGTCACTTTTTTAGTTCAGCAATAAAAATTACTTCTTGAATTGAACACGAATGAATGCACTGGCAGACAGTTCATTGTAAGTGAGAATTGCAATGTACAAGACTGTGCAGTCGAGAATGTCTAGCCACTACGATTCATACTGCAAATAGCCCAGCAAGCAAAAACAAGAATAAATGCACCCTATAATCAAGTTTCGCTCATATCTTACCTTCGCCTTCTAATTCCGCATAATCTACACTAGAGGTCGCACCATTTGCAGTTCATGCATGCGTTCACAAAGTGTATATATGTATATATGTATCCGGTCTCTCAAAGAACTTTGTGCCGTAGATAAAATTTTCAGTGACAGTTTTCCAGTTGCGTGATGCTCTCGACCACCTTCGATGAAGCCTCGTGGGAGACACCGTCCAGCAACATTGTCTTTTTTTTTTCACCGATTGGCTGGAACGAACGGGTGGGACTCGGGCGGCACTCGAGTCCGTGCTTAGTTTTCAGTAAGCGTCGCTGAGGCATGGCACCCACTGAACAACGCGAAATCGACGCAGTAATGGCTGTACAGCTGGCCGACCGAATTTCCCGAGAGATGGCGGCGGTAGCGCAGAGGCCTATTCGTCGTAGATGGGTTCAAACTTTTCATCTCCTAACGCGTTGATGCTGGGAACCTCGGCGGGGGCTACTGGTGCCTCTTCCTTTAACGGTTCTTCTTCGGCTTTGGCCGACTCTTCCGACGCATCGGCGGCTTTCGTGGTTGGTTCGTCTTCGGTAGGCTCAGTCGAGCCCTCTGCCGATTCCCGGTTGGCGGTAGTTTCCTTGGCTGCTGCGAGAAACGGGATACGCCAGCGGTCGGGTGAACATTCTCAAATTTCAAGTGTTGAATAGAACAGCCACTGTTTGTAAAGACACAATGGTGGGCACAAACGAAATTTTTTAAAGGATATATTAATGACAAATACACACATCTCTTTATCTGGTTATGCTTGGCTTGTCAGTTTGTAGGTAACAACGTCCAAAAACCGACTCAATCTTTGAGAGATCTAGTGGAGGGCTCCACATCTAAAAACTGGAGTTCTTAACCATGCACTGACATTACACAGTATGCAGATCTATAGCATTTAACTTCCATAGAAATGTGACCACAGTGGCTGGGATCAAACCCATGTCTTTCAGGTCAGCAGGTCCAATTTGGTCGAATTCTGGGTTGGCTCATAAAGCATAACATTTCCGTTTTCCGAGTGCACTGAACAAGTGAAAATTCATAGTTAAAACTAATATACTACATATCATGTGCTTACTGCATCATTTGCGACTATTAGGCCATCTCTGTGATAGTTAATTAGCATCATTTGTTTACTTATTGCCTTGTTAAGAATATTTTTTATGTGTATCTCGGAATTTTATTTCATTCTTAGCTGTGGTGGGCCAGATGAATAGTTTATGTTAGAGTTGCTGCTCTACCGTGCCTGCAATTTTCTTGTTTAAAGGGTGGCTGGGCCAGACAGGCTGTGAAATGCACATTTTTTTCCTGTGCTCTTATGTACCTGCCACGCAGTCAAATAAACTCAACTCGGGTCACAGAGGAAGAAATATAGCTAGGTCATGCAATGCCCTAGCTATATTTCTATAGCCCCGGCGGTGCCCTGCAACACAAAGCTGCAACCATAGAGCAGAAAAATAAAAAAAGGCGACCGACTGAGCGAGTACGCCCGTACGTGCTTTTCCACAACATTTTAAGCTGATGACAGTGGCGTTCCCGTCAGCGGGCATGCAATTTTTACACTTCATGCGTCGGTGTCAACAAGCTTACACAAAAGGTCTGTGGCAACGGAGCAAGAAACAAGTGCGCCCTAATGCACCCCGCCACTGCGGCAGAATGGGAAGCAACTCACGAGACCAGTTTCTCTTACCAACTGAAAAGACGGCGATTTTGTTGTCTGGCACCAGGTGTCGCTAGCTTGTCGTGGCTCATAACACCATAACATAGCTCATAGCACCACAACAACTGTGCCACTGAGGCTGCTGCTCAACACTAAGCTTACCCTCTGGTTTGCTCCGGTCACCCGCAGCAGACTGTCCCTTTGCGGCTTCTGCAGGTTCCGCAGTGTCCATCGGTTCGGCCACATCGCCATCGGTGGCCTTCGTCGTGGCGATTCCTTCCGCCACCTCGCCGTTGCCCCTGGGCTCGGACTTCGCTTCGACTCGGTCTTGCTTATCTGCGTCTGCCGAAGGTTCTGCACCGCTGTTCGCGGTGGCTTGCTCTTCGTCCTCTGCAGACTGGTCCTTGGAGGGTCCCCGGTTCTCCTTGTCGGGGTAGATCTCCTCCTCTTCCTCTTCGCCGGCATGAGCATTGATGTTGTCGCGGTGGTAGAGCTCGTCGATCGCGTCCAGCTCTTCCTTGACCTTGGCGCGCCGACTCTCAATGATGGCTGCATGGGCAGAAGCGACCGTGCTCGTTAGTCACAAATAAAAGATAAGAAAAAGAGGGAGAATTACGTCATGCAGTCAGCCCAACACGTGACTTTTACATCAGCACGTGACCTTTTGTGCCATTCTTCAGAAGGAAGTGCAATAGATAAGCCCTAGCGACGTGCATGTGGTACATGATGGTCAGGGTTGCCCACATCTAAGGTGGATGCCTCATTAGCAACAAGACCTCACAGAGTCTGATGTTCAATACATTATACGTAATTGAACTGTGCCCATCAAAACCATGATATAGCGTTGTCTGATACATTTATCGTGAAGTAGAATATTCCAAGTCTCATCTCATGGGCGAATCAATGAATGCGACAGCAAGAAATTGGAATGTCACACAGAGAACGACAGGCAGTTCGATTCCTGCATCGCTCCGGTGAGGCACAAAGAAGGATACTCGAAAGAACATACACGTATACATAGAAAAAGCGTGAATGAAGGTGTTAAAGTTATGCCTCTGAGTCCGAGCAACGCATTGCTCAGACTCGGAGGCATAACAGAGTACAGTACCTAACACTCTGAAATATTTCTTTTTCTTTTAAACAGGAGAACGTGGAGCAACACGTCTGTGTCTCCTGCCACATGGTGGCGTCTGATGCAAGGTTTTCCTTGTGCCTGTTGGTGTTTTTTCTTTTTCGTTCTGCAACGTGAGCTGGTACAGAATGGGGCAGCTTCTTTGTGCGTGTCTCAAGGGCAGTTTTGACACTGAAAGAAAATGTAGGCACGCTGCGTATTAAAGTACACGCACAAGCTCCTCCGAGACCTGTGTACCGCCTGTGGTAAATTGTGTACATAGATGACTCGCCGTTATTATGGCGGCACATGCATGGCGATTAGTTGAATTGTCTAACGCAGCGTGCTGCGGAGCGACAGCTCATTCGTTTGAATCTCCGGTTTGGTGTGTTGGAATTTTCTCTTTCTGATTTACTTTTCTTTACATACATATACATATCTGGGAAATGACGGCTATAGCAAAGATCAGTTGAAAAAGCCTACACAAATACTATAGCAACAATAAACGTTCCTAGTTTTACCTGCCTCAACACTAATGAGTAGGCTTGGCTTGTGTGAATATTTGAAAACTTCGAATATTTGAACGAATATTACAGTATTTGAGTTTGCTTCGAGTTGAACTTAAATTATCGGAAATTTCTAAGTGTTCGTAGGTATACATTAGTGCACATGTTACCTTTTGTTTTGTTGCAATGAAGGTACTATACAGTGAATGCATCTATCCAGAAAAAATCTGCACTGTCAGTTAAATGAGTTTATTACCTTCACTTACGATTCATCATTTTTTAAGTTTCAGGAAACATGTTACACCAGCTTATATGACCTAAGTGCAGTAAATTTTAAGATGCAACACATTTTACAGCTTAACAACCGAAAGTCAAATCCAGCTACTATTCAAACTTGCTTCCACTTCATTTAAAAAAAAAAAAAAAACGAAACTTGCAGATGCCTAGTTTCAAGCGTTAAAAAAGAATACTGTGCAGCTTAGTTTGGTAATGACAAATATGCTTATTTTTCTTTAAAATATGCGATATATGCTATTTGAATTCAATTTTAAATTATTTAAGCAAATCGCTATTCACTTCAAGTTAACTTCAAACCTGAAATTCACCTTAATAGTGGCTGACTGGGATAATTGGTAGGGAATACTTAAGGTTAACAGCACAAATATAACACGATGAACAGAAAATAGACGGGATAATTTGCTGACCGCCATGCATTATTTTCGCGCAGTTAATCTCAAGTATAAAACTTACTATTCGTACTAACCTACCAATGAGATGTTCATGTTGAATTTCGCTCAACCCTGTGCACAAACTGAAACGTATTGGCTGTTAGAATGAAGTGACTGAATGTCCTGCATGCTGGTTTTTTTTCTTAGACACTAGTGCGTATTATTCGAAGGCAGCAGGTTTCGATTCTGCTGGTGGCAAGTGATCTTTTTGTCCACATTTCTTCCTTCTTGTTTACAATACAATTACTTTTAATACCATCCCCTGTACACTCAAACCTCAATATAACGAAATATTTGGTATAGCGAAGTAAATGAAAAATAGTGTTGCAATAGGTACAGTGTTAAGAATAACCGCTATAACAAATTTTGGGATATACCGAGCGTAATTTCTAGTAAGATGCTACTTTGTCATAATGAGGTTTGAGTGCACTTTTCTTGGCATTATTGTCTGTCAGTGCTCATTGATAGCACGCAGAGGTGTCGCACTGACCGAGGATGCGTTTTTGGGACTCCTTGAGCCGCTTCTCCGTTTCGGGTGTGTGCCTGGCCGGCTTGAACATAATGTGCGGCTTGGTCCTCGTGTGGATGAAGTTGAGCAGCAGTCGCTGGCGGGCCTCAGCTTCCTCGTGCTGGGAGGAAGGACGAAATGAAAATGGTACAAGCAACAAATAATAATAATAATAATAATAATAATAATAATAATAATAATAATAATAATATCTGGTGTTTTACGCCCAAAAACTACGACATGATTATGAGAAACGCCGCAGTGGAGGGCTCCGGAAAAACTTTGCTGGCAATCATGCAGACCCGACTATGATGTTTCTGTGGCTCTAAGAAATAATAAACGTCACAACGTCAGTTGTAGTATTGCCCAGAGTGATATTTATGAGAACTTAGATAATTCAAACAAAATCCTGAGATCATTTCCAAACTGAATTGACAAGAGTCGACTCTAACTTATCGTTCTGACGGTACTTCACTATAATGAGGTTCGACTGCATCATAGAACGTGTACGAGATTGTGCCCCCCGTCATTCAGGCAACAGCCACCCACCAGGCGGGCCACCTCCATCTTGAGCTCTAGCCGACGAATGCCCTGCTGCTTCTGGCGTCGCGCCAGGAACAGGTCCTGACGCTCCTTGCGCAGCTCCGCCTTTTCACGCTCGGCTGCCTGTTCCAGCTTCTGTTCAATTTCAGCACGCTTCTGGGACTGTGAGGAAAGGGCAGGCACACGCAACGGTTAGGCGGGGAAGGGCGCTCACCAGTCTGTGCACCGACGTTAACTGAATCAACTGTTAGGTTCGGTGGTTGTGAATAACATTAGTGCAAGTAATAAAATGGGAAAGGCGAGAAAGATTACAAAAATACGTGCTACTTGCACCTGCTTATCAACGAGGCGGGGTTCTAACATTACACTCGGACCTCGACATAACGAACCCGAATATAACGAAATATCGGTTATAACGCAGTAAATGACGAACAGTCTAGCAATAAACAAAGTGTTAGAAATATACCTTTACAACAGATTTTCGGTTATAGCAAGTTTATACTCGTGTGAGACCTAACTTTTTTTATAATGAGCTTCGACTGTACATCCTTTTGTCAAGCATGTGCACATAAAGAATAAAGTAACATGTCCACAACATCAGAGCCGGCTGCACGGGAATTCAAATTCAGGGTCCAGCAAGGCGATAAAGTGATAGACAGTCTCGAAGAGGCGTTACCAACCTTCCCAAAATGAGAAATAGTACGTATGGCAGCCCATGTCACTGCATGTGGTTATGATGTTAGGTATTCAGACCCAGCCATTTTTACCATGGTGAACGATCACTTGTGGTACCACACTCATGAGGTGAGCTAGTAGTTCGACAGCGATTAACGTGAAGGCCTCAGTCAAAATAGTGTAATGAAATGTTCTGCCGCCAGCTTTTGAGTTGACCGACACAATAGTCGCAGTGGCACTACGAATCCTGTGTAGTTACAGGCTTACTGCCCGTATAACACACACACGAGCAAAATTTGATAAAAGAATTGGCCGCGTGTCTTCATACTTCGCTGCAAATGTCGTCGAAAGACAAGTCTTTTGCCGGCCCTCTTTCCTGTATAGCGCCGCATTTTTAGCAGAGCCTTAGAAACACTAGGGTTCCTAGAATTATGTATCAATGCATTTTCTAGTAAAAAAACATGCCACCTAACCCTTATAAATATACCGATTTTGCACCTCAGATATGCGTAATATTTGCTTTATGATTGACTATGTCCCAAGTATACACGCTGCAACCAGTTCAAGATGGCGGGGCATTCAACAAGTGCTAAGCAATTGCCGCATGGCTGAATCGCTTTGCGTGACAGACAGACAAGCCAAAATTTTTGCATTTAACTATCCCAAGACTATAGTTTTTAATAAAGTCTGTTATACACAAGTATATACGGTATGATGATGATGCATCAGGTGGTCTGCAGGTGTTGGGGGGAAGGGAGGGGGGGGCTGAATGACATGACATACCTGAACCTGGTCCTTGCGTTTGGTCTCCTCGCTCTGGAACTTCTGCAGGGTGCCCAGCATCATGCCGAACATGCGCCGGTTGCGCTCCATGCACTTGCGGTCGCCCTTTTGCAGGGCGCTCACTTCTCGGCGCGTCCGCAACGAATCCTTCGCGGGCGCCGCCACAACGGAGGACTGAACGCCACCCTGTCAAACATCACCAGTACGACTGTCGGTCGACACGTGCCTGCCAGACACTTCGCTGAAATCAGCAATGATGCCCTCTAACGAGGCAGCGCGCACAAGAATTAGTTTGAAAACACACGCGATAATCAGCAGAGTGTGTTGTGTGGATGAAAAAATACAGTTTTTATCAATACAGGGCCTGCGATACTCTTCTTTCTTTTCCATGGTGACTCTGTGATGCACAAGCTCGGGCATTGTGTGATAGTAGGCATACAGCAAGTGCGCAGGTGCAATCATTATTTCTAATTGTAACCAAAGCTTCTTCTGCCAGAATGAGAAAGCGTACACTGTGTCTGAGCGTAATGCACAATTTATACGCCTGTATAGTATAGTCGTTCACATAGCCAGTTCTAGTCACAGAAATCTCGAGAAACTGAACAGCCAAAAATACAGACTAAAATTCACCTCGGTACTAGCAATGTCTGCAAGCAGAATGAATGGTGAAACTGAAGAACATAGAATGGCATGCTTCTGCTTTCAAATGTGCACCATGGAAGAATGCATACTCATCCCTGATTGGGAAAGAAAAGACTGGCACAAAAGTGGAAGGGCTTCATGCATTGGATGACCTAAATTAATTGAATACGTAAGTAGACACGGCCACGAGGTTAGGATAGGTTCAACTTCGGCAATGATTTCTGGCGTGTACGATGGCCACAAAACCCTGTAGAATGTCCAATACAGAATTCACCTATTGCAATGCATAAAAAAATGAATAAGGGGCCTTTGAGCGACTCAAAACAGAAAGGCACATTCAATTGATGATTGTTAAGAACATCCGTACGAAATTTGCTGGAAGCGGCGCAGTCCAAACCCCCTGGTATTCCCATCTCCTATAGGTATGCATATCAATGAATTTCTGCAAACATTCACGGTGCAGTACTGCAATGTCCCCGCGACTCGAGCAAAGGGCAACTAGATAGTGAACTGACCAGGACAACTGGGCAATCGGTACACATGCATTTAAAAGTAAAGCACGAAAGAACAATGGAGAGTAGTGCGATACTGCATTCTCGTAATCTCCATTTTTTTTTGCACTTTACTTCAAGACACAACAACATGCATTAACTTAAGTTTCTCGTAGTGGAAGAGGGGTCCAATAATAGCCGATTGTGTGCGCACACACACACACACCATGTTTTCTCATGTGCAACTTCACCAGAAAAAAAATTTAGAGCTAAAAATATGTGCATTTCGGTGAGCAATGCGCCTTTATGGCAACTCTACATGGCAGCACAAACAAGATTTCTTCTTGGCAATACATGAAGATCTCGGCAAAATTTATTTCCTAGATTAAATATTTTTTACACAATGGTGCTGGTTATATGCAGGGGCGGGTTATACACAGAACCGCCGTAAATGTATGCCCCAAAGGCCGACTCATCAATTGTTATGGGTTTTGATCGTGATAACTGTAAATAATACCTTTCTCGGTAGTTCTTCCTCGTCGCCGCTGTCCTCTGCGGGAGCTTCGATTGGTGTCCTGCAACGGTTCACAAGAAGGAATAAGCAATGGCTACAGTGTCAAGGCATGAACAAATAGCAGTATAAGAGATACCTTATTTCGAACTTTATTCTAAATCTATCAAAACCCCAAAACAATCTTAATAAAATAATTTAGGTGCGGACACTTTGCTCCACGGTGCATCCAGATAATGTTCCCGACTTTCAGTCCCTCCAGCTCCCGCGTATGTGCTATAGGTGATGAGCTGCGTATGTAGCGTCCGTAACAGCGCTCTGTACGAGAGAACATCGTGTAGGTGCCGTGCAGGCAACTGCAGCGTCGCCCCCACATGTAGCTTTTTTTTTTTCGGTTGCGAAAAATGCGGTTTGCATTTCTAGCTTTAGTTACAAGTGTGTACGGTGATTAAAAAAAATTGAGGCAAAAAAAAAAAAAGAAATGTGTCTGCCTCGTCACGTTATTTCTCTCCTCATGTCGCAGCACCCCTTTGCTATAGCACCATGATACTGTGGCCAGCTCATATACTAAAGCCGAACACTATCTGGATGCTGTCTCCGTCGTAACGGGCGGGAAGTGTCAACACCCAAATTATTTTTGTTACACTATGAACCGAACTGAATGAAATTATCTGTATTAAGAGAGAAAGCTAGAGTGCGTCGACTGCGCGAGGTAAAATATTGGTCAGGGGCTGGGATAACATCAAGCAGATATTTCCAAGGCCTTATATAAGGTTGAAGACAATGAAGCAAATTTTCAGGGTGAATGCACAAGCATTTCCCGGAAAGCTTTGTGTTATGTTGCCAGCTACATTACACACATGCGCATTTGTTCATGATATCACCCATTCTCTCTTTAACAGAAAATTAACACGCTTAAATGCGAAACACTTCTGCTATATGCAAACATACCGTAGCGGCGGTCCTCCAAGGTTTCTTCGTTTGGCGGGGGGACCTGCTGTTGCGATAGCCGGCTTCCTGTAATTATTCACACAAAAAACACACACTCAGCACTTGCACCTACAGCTTTTTTTTCTGTGAACGCTGCGGAGAACACCAGCCCACACCTTTTATTGTACTACATTCACTGAAGCAAATGTAACTGCCCACGTCTCGTCAACCCTACGGATAGCACACTGATTGATGCGCGGGGTTTAACCTCCCGAAACCACCATACGAGTATGAGAGACGCCGTAGTGGAGGGCTCCGGAAATTTTGGACCACCTGGAGTTCTTTAACGTGCACCCAAATCTGACGGTACGCGTCTTTTTTTTTTGCATTTCAGTAAATTGGGTAACGTTTATTACGCACGCTAAGGCGAAGTCACGGCGTCAGCGTCGTTGGTGAGGTCCACAATCCGTCGCAGTTTCGAAACGAAACTTCGCCAGACGAAACATTCCAGGTGTCACAAAATATTTCGCTTTACATCCGCCAATCGCGGTCCTAAAGTCCCCCTAGAAGAACTGCCACAATCTCAGGTCCACGTCCTCCGAATTCTTTACGGCGGGATGAGGCAGAGATCTCACCGGCGAATTTACGACGTTTATGCCGCCATTCATAGCGCAACCTGAGAGATTCCCAGAGAGATTCTCTGTCGTTGCTTGATGAAGTAGGGGGGGGGGGGGGGGGGGCGAGAAGTGTTTCTCTACAATCCGAAGGTGCACGGGGTATCGCTTTTGTGTAGTTACGGGCCCAGCTGTTACGGCTAGTAACGACGGCGCCTCTCTTTCCCGTGGCAACGTGTGTGTGCGCGCTATGCTCTGGAAACGGCTTGGAACGGAGCCACTCACTTCGTGAACCGTTCCCGGCCTCCTTGTTCGGTGGCAGCCTTCTGAGCAGGTCCTGCCTGTCTGCGGGCTTGGTTCCTGGGAAAAAACAAACAAAGAACATGACGAGATTCAACGCGTGCCGCGGCGGCAAATAAAAAGACCGACACGAGACGCCACAGTATCGCGCGCGGTTTACAGATTCTCCGGGCGAACGAAACTAGCACCGAGCGTAATGGATGCAGTTTGGGGACAACATTTCAGGGTTTCGAGAGTGGGTGTACTTCGTCATGCCTCACGGCAGACGCTCCTTCGGTGCCGCAAAATGAATGATTGCGAACCACAGACGCGAGCGCGCTTTCGTGAAGCGCGGACGCCTGTGTCTCTCGCGGGTCGCCGATTTTATTGAGGATTCGAATAGCTAAGCGGCCGTGCGCTTGCCTGAACTCCTCGGGGTTTCGGCCCGTGAGCTTCTTGATGGTTTCGTCCACATCCTTGAGAGACTTTTGCGCCGCTTCAAACTCGGCTTTGAGCAGGGAAAACACGCCAGACGCCGCCATCTTGGGTATCGTTGTTTAGGAACGCAGAAGTCAAAACACACTTACTAAAATATTTATTTGAATAATTATCGCGAAATACTCAACATATAGTTTTATACATGGTGGCGTATAAATATGTGTTAGGTTAAAAATAATATTCACCTTTAACTACACTGCGGTCTGTATAGCAGACGACGATAACAAACATGGCGGATGACGCGCTGTTTGAGTTCCTGCTCATGGAAATGACAAACTCTATTTATTGCCACGACGACGTTGCGGAAAGGGTCAGTACATAGAGCTGCCTAGTAGTACGCAATTCAGGCTATCGTTTATGTGTTTAGTAAGAACGCCGCCCATAGCGCGTACTGTTGAAAACGTCAGATGCCTCCCTCCCCCTAACATTGATTGATTGACTTTTCACATGCTACGTTCGCAACGGCAGTCCTTCAGTGTAATCATTCGCGCAGGATGCATCGGTGACCAAGCTGGAACAGATCGGCTTTTCTACCGGCTATCGATTGGTCGAGAGGTAAGGTGCACGCGCCTACCTCCCCGTATTTGACTGCACGTTTTCTAAACCCAGTGAGTTGAGTGGGAACTCTCTAAGGTCCCGTGTGTATGTGTGAATTCTTCCGCGCAGGCTCACGAAAGACTGGCCCAGGTTCAAGACTGAGCTGGACGTGATCAAGTTCATTTGCAAGGAGTTCTGGTCCGCAGTGTACAAGAAGCAGATCGACAACCTCAGGACGAACCATCACGTACGTAACTGATAACGAGGCGCGCCGTAGGGCGATTTCGATTAGCGTGCTGGGCTGCGGATCCGAAAGTTTCGGGTTTGGCCCCAGCCGCGGCAGTCGCATTTTGATGAAGGCGCAATACTGGAGGCCCGATGTAATGTTCGATGTCAGTGCATATAAAAGAGTCCCCAAAAGCACTCCAAGTTCGAAGAGGAGCGAGTGGTTTCTCTCTAGCCTTCACTGCTTTCCCAACAGGCGCCATCTGTTCTTTGCCATAGTATAGAAAGCCGAGATAGTTGGTAATGTGTTGTAAGATCTCGCAAAAACACCCAGGCACAGCGAGAAGACGACACGGGCGCCAACTTTTAACTGGCACATATGTCGGTTAGTCGGGACGGTGCGTAAGTGTTTGGCTCCGTGATTCTTCATTAACACGCAGGCCTAGTAGCCAACTGTCCCTTGGCTGCGCAGAAGGCAAATGGACCCCGCGTTTTGAGGACGCTACCGTACTATTTCAAAATGGTGATAAAACAGCCAGACAGGTTGCTGAAGCTTTTTTTTTTTTCATTGCAAGTCTAGGCCATAAATGCATAAGCCACCCATTTTTATCCCTGTCGGATAAAAAACTAGGTTTGTTGGAATCGGGGCTGTAAAATGAAAAAGTGAAATTGCTGATTATACTTATATAACTCTTGTGTTGTAGGACAGAGTCATTGTGCACGGCCAATCGTTTTCTCGTATATACGCTCTCTTTCCGAAAAAATAAACGCCATTTGAAAGTTAGTGCATGTGTTGTCTTCTCGCTGTGTCCGTGTGTTTTTGCACTTTTTGCAACGCTCCTCGCCACTTGTTCCTTCATAAAAGACGGAGAATGTGTCAGCACCAAGCGTGGAACCTATCGGGATTTCGCGCTTTTCTGCTACACGCTACACATCTGCGCTTGTGCAGTCAAAAACGCACAGAACTAAGTCAAATCAGTCGATCTCTTATGATAGTCATGCGAGAAAAGGCAGAACTGGCACTCGACTGCGTTGGCTGCACGTCAAAACGGGGTCGGAGATGATTTGGGACTGATGTCACTCGTGTAAGGACCACTCAAAAGCTTATTTACTCGTGGCGTCACACAAACAGACTACTGGCATCATGAATTGTGCTGGAAAAACTGGAAGTGTGAGGAGAGAATAATGCGCTCGTTATTTGCATTTTGAGAGGTTGTTTATTGGTCCTTTAGTAAACACAAGATGGTTGAAATTTCTGGGGGCCTCCATTACGATGTGTCTCATTATCATCTCATGGCCTTGGCAGGTAAAAATAAGGAAAATATTAACGATTTCGGCAACCAGGGTTATCAGGTGACACCTCAAATCTAGGTACGTAGACGCAGGCAGGTTTGGTCAGCATTGAAACGTACCCATCATGGTATGGAATCAAGCCTGAATCCTGATGCTTACTAGCGCAACACCTTGAACCACTTAGTTGCCGCAATGGTGACACGTAAACATTACAATAGTCGTCACACTGTGACCACATGCATGCCAACAGTCTGAATCACACCTATCTAGAGCAGTCAAGTGCTTTGCTGTGGACCTTGGCACCCTCTACAGCTGCTACCTCGCTTTGACTGCGAGCTTCCATTAAGGCTTGAATTACAGCACAAGGACCTAGCATGCATTGGCACTGTTTGTTATTATTGCGCCTTAGTTCACCACATATTTTTTGCAAGAAGTGGTTGCCGACTGATCCAGACTGTACAAGCATCTCTGCATGGAACAGACCAACTAGGTCGAACAGAAGCTTTTCTCTGCTACATCATATGTGTATGCCCTGTAATAGAAGCGAGAATCGTAGTTTTGCTGCGGTGATTCGATTTGCCTTTCTCTCCGGACGCAGGGAGTCTATGTCCTACACGACAACAAGTTTCGGTTCCTGACGCAGATGTCCAACAACAAGCAGTACATTGAGATGGCACCCAAGGTAAGTGTTCGCAAGTCTTCAAGCTAGTTTCACACAAGAGCACTGGGGTTTAAGGACTGTGCTGTGGCTTGCGGTCATAATCGTTGTCGAATCAATAAACTTCGTGGGCAGAGGAATGCATTAAAATTTTTTTGGCAGTGTTAATCCAGAGATATGATCCAAAAATACACTCAAACCTCGATATAATGAACCCGGATATAATCAAATATGTTATATCAAAGTGAATTAAAAGTACTATTGCAATATATATAGTATTGAGAACAAACCTTCATAATTAATTTTTGGATATGTAAACTTATTTTTATGTAAGGTGCAACCTTGTCATAATCAAGTTTAAGTCTATATCGGTCACTCTGCATAGAGTAAAAGAACAATTTTCTGAGCGCACAAATACATGAATGCATGGTTGTACTCGGTTGTTCGGCGAATGTAACTGCACACCTGGACGTACCATATTAAAAGGAACCTTTCTCCCAGTAAATCTACTTTCAAGCTGACGCTCTATCCTGTACCTCCTTTCTTTTGCCTTGCGTTGCACTAGCTTTTGTAAAGTATGAACCAAATAGCCCAACTACGTGTTTATTAAGCAAAAGTCATATTTTGCGACATGCATGTTGTTGAGTTCCTTCTGAAGAAAGGAAGATTTTAAAGAAGGAATAAACAGCACAGACACTGGACAAAGGAAAGTCACGACGATGGACACTGACTGCCAAATACTGGTTTCTTTGGAAAGAAACCTGCATTATACATTGAAAACGAAAAAAAAGCGTGAACAAAAATGAGATAAAGCTTTAAATCGTGGTAATGACATCAGGTAGCAGATCTCGCTGCCTCATCGATCAAGAAATCCCACGCTTGTACAGTTCCTTTTTCTCACTGATAATATTGGCCTCATACATCTCTCCGGAATGCCTGTTGCAGTAGTGTTTTAGGAAGGTGGCTCGTGCTGATGTGTTACTATTGGCATTGCTGACAGGTCAATTCACTTTACGTTGCGAGGAAGAAAATAATCAACAAGAAGGATGAAATTGAGAGGGGAGGGGCATTGAAAAATATCTTTACCTTGTTACCATGACGGGGTTTGCTGAAAACGTCCGTGATCTCACTGGCATTTGTTGTGTGTACGACAGGCTGCTACATAAAAAAAAAAAGCAAGCAGCCACTTTGAAGAATGTTGCAGAAAAATACCTTTAGTGTGCTGTGCAAAATACACAACGAGGAGAGTGCACTGTCTATAATGTCTATTATCTAGACATTATAACGAGATGCACCGCTTTGGTGTGCAAGACACTCAACTGTAATGTGAAAATTTTCTGAACATTGGCTGTTGAAGCGTTGGCTTCAGCGATACCTCATGCTCACGAATTTTTCATCTCTTCCATCTTCCCCTAAACACTTACTTTGCTTTGCCACACGCAGCATGAAATGCACGCGCACTTTTTCTCAGTCACAGGAGAACTTTTTGTATTGCCGGGGAAAGCTAATCTTGATCACTTGCTCTTTCTCACGTAGTTTTCCCCTCTTATATTTTGCACAGCACATTATTACTTCAGTATGAAGCTCCTGGCCCACAAGAAAAATTTGCTAAAAAAAATGTTTTTCTTTTTTTTTTCTTTTTTTTTGCAGTACTTGGCTTTCACGTGCGGCCTCATCCGAGGCACCCTTGCCAATCTGGGCATCAACAGTATTGTGACTGTTGAGGTCACTGCTATGCCTGCGTGTGAGTCGCTTCCTCCTTATGCTACCCTGGCGTATATTATCGGGTACACTCAAAACTCGATATAACGAATTACTGGTTATAACAAAGTAGGTGGCCAATAGCATTGCCATGTATAATGTTACAAATGACCGGTTATAATAAATTTTCGGATATAGCGAAGCATTTGCGTAGCAGATGTGACTTTGTTACGATGAAGCTTGCACGTATTTAAAAGAAATGCTAAAGCGAAGCATTAAATAAGTTTTAGACGGGGAAATTGTTTTAGAGAACTATTTCACAAAATTGAGTGAAGGCGTTACTTACGGGGGCAAGCGACTTTGATTTTGATCGAAACAATGACAGACTTGTTTTGTCTTTTGCCCTAAGTGCATGGTTAGTCCAACAACTCGTGGTATGCACCATTTTTCACAAGAATTATTTAATAACACAGGCAGGGTTTTTCTTTCTTCTGCAGCATTACTTTCAATTTAGTAAATAAGTAGAACATACCTTTTGCAAGAAAAAACCGTTCTCTTTCGAACTTTCTCTCTGTACTGATGTACGGTCAACAGCAAAGTGTATGGGACGTTGGCTCCACAACCAATGTGAATCTCTTCTCTGTTAACGTGTAATGCTTCAAATGATAGCTGATGACTACACAAAAACCTCGTTCTAACAAAGTCAAATCTGCCACGAAAATACTTCCTTATATCCAGAAATTTGTTATAAGCAATCATTTGTAACACTGTATCTATGGCAAAGCTATTGACCATGTTGTTGTAGCCAGTAATTCGTTATATTGAGTTTTGAGTGTATGTAGGTTGCAATTCCAACTACAAACCGGAACATTCATTTGAAGGTTATGTTCACAAATCGAGAATGTAGCTTTCTCAAACATCGTACATTCCACTTACTTTTGTCGATGGGCGTACTCTTCTAACCTAGCAATAAATGTGAACAAGATGTAATCTTGATTGAGATAGGGCAGTGTTTGTAGGTAGGTAATAAACTTTATTAGGATCCAACGAGGAATTACTGGCCCAGGCTAGGCCTCCAAGAGCTGTTGTGCTTTCTCAGGTTAATTGCAGTAATTTAATGTGAAAGTGGTAGCTATATATACATATATGCAGTGAGGGAAGCGCTGCTGTAATTGCTCCAAACTTCTCCAAAAGAGAAATGCTGCTCTAAAGTGCAAGGCTGGTTAGTAACTGCTCCGAAATGGCCTTGGAGAAACCTAAAACAACAAAGTTAAACCATGTGACCATCCAGCTAGCCTAAATGAAAACAGAAACAAGCCGATTGCTGTCATCTAGTTAACAGCTTGCATAGGAGCTGTATACTACGATTATGACAATGCTACACATACTCACATATTCTATATATATCTGTTATAGTTGTAAATTTGTATCTTACAAGTAGGCTATTTCGGCGAAATGTATGCAAAACTTCCTAGTCGTACTAGCCACTGCTTTGACAACTTTGATATGTAACTGATTTCATTCAGCACTTCCATCAGATTTGACCTAATTTATTTTTCAAAAAGAAGCATTCATAAATGTTAATTCGTTTAGTTCGCTTGATTTTTGAAAATTTCAATGCTGGCTGCATTGGCAAAATATGACAACACTTACTTTGTGTTCAAAGACCATCCATTAGTCTAATTCTGGTTCTTGCAACTTTCAGTGATTATTGCATGTGTGATATGTTTAATAATAAGTATTAATATAACTTAGAGGCCTAAATGAGGCTATAAACTTGGAATATTTTGCTATCTGCTCTGAAAACACCAATAGCTGCTCCAGGCTTGCATTTTTTTTTTCCGCTTCGAAAACAATCAAGACTGCTCAAAACCTTTCTTTTGCTGCTCCAGAATCTGCTCCAAAAATCAAAATGGCGCTTCCATCACTGTATGTATATCAAGGCTGCCTTTTGCTTTGCAGGCAAATTTCAAGTCCAGGCTGCACAGAACTCGTGAAGAAGTCGTCCAGTTGTTGTCCCTTGTATATCAGTATTTGTGTTACATAAAAAGTTGGTCACTGTGTGTTTACATACATTTTTTTGCGTTTTTATTTCTTCACACAAAACAGCTGAAGCTGCCTTCACACAAGGCAGACTTAATACAGAAGTTAGGAAAGAGGTAATCTGCGACATCGTTTTCAGTCAGCGTAAAGGCCTAACCGCATGCTCACGATTTTCGAGTGATAGTGACGAACGACAGCAACAAACTCGTTCCGTTGCGCTGCCGCGTTGCAACGGCTGCAACCACATGTCGGCGGCAAGGTGTCATTGTTGCTAAATTGAAAACTATCGCGTGCATGCCCATAAATTGTGAAAAAAAGTTTAAAAGGAGGTCGATGACAACATGCCAGATTTATTATTCTTGTGTGGCATAAGGCAGCCATAAAAGCGTTTCATGACTTTTTTTTTTTTCGCAGTTTTTGGTTTAACCACAACGGCGTTACCGGAAGCACACGCTATGATGCGCTTCGCATGACAATTTCACATTGCAGCAAGCTACCATAATTGTCACGAGTCACCACCGAAACAATCCATCGATAACAAGATTGACGACAACACACGGCCGCTGTCTCACTCTCCGCATGACATGCAAACGTAAGGAAGGTGCTCAATACTTTGCATTCCTTGAAGTATTCACGGAAAACAAGCAACGAGAGCGAATTGAAATTGAAATGCGGATCAGGAGTGCAGCTTTGTTGCTGGAAATCATGCTGGCTTCCGGGCAACAAGAGATCGTTTCTTGTTTTGAAAAAATGCACAATGGCGACATATGGGCCTCCACGACAGCAAATTCTGACGCTTGTGGCTGTTGTTTAGCTAGACAATTGCATGCATGTGGTTGGGCCTTAAGACCTTGCAAATAGCAAAACTGCAGAAAGTTTCAAGGTAGTACACAAGCGAGATATGCGAAGAAAGAAGACTTGCAAAACGCTTCTTCCTTTGCGATTTTATTGGGTGTGTGCATGCTGAAAACTTTTCATAATGCATTTCCTCAAACTCGCCCAGTTTTCATCCTTTCAGCAACATTCTGCATTGCCATCAAGCACACACGTGTGCTAAGGTCGCGTATTGTATCCCACCTCGTCGATGGGAAAGCTTCTGAAGCCGTGTTTTTCGATAAAGTTGTATTCCACTGAAACAAACTCTCTGCCGAAACAACGGGGAGCTATGTCACACAACAACATGGTCGAGTGGTGCGCTGGCATGAAAGATGTGTACAGCTTCGTCGACATCTAAGACGAGCTCTTTATCAGTTGATCTGTGCGAATATTTGACCTCTTCGAGTATTGGAGCGAATATTGCAGTATTGTGATTCGCTTTGACACGAATTTAAGTGATTCTCAACCACGAAATACGCGTATATTAAATCGCAAGTAAACCCCCTGTAAAGTGGTTTCACTGCAGTGTAGGAATGTAATGCTGTGGAAACACTTATAAAAAAAAAAAAAACGCTTTTTCGCCAAGTCTTACTTTTAGATTAAATGAACATATTACCCTTACATTGATCATTTTTCAAGTTTAAAAGCTTGTTATATGGGCTTCTGTACACTAAATTTAGTGAATTTTAGAACTTAACTAATTTTACCTGTCATAACTTGCATCCAACTGGAATTCAAATCCTGCTACTATTCAAAGTTGCTTTTACATCATAAAACCGTTGAACAGGTTGATCCGGTCATGACAAATCTGCTCATTTTTCTTTGCAATACGTGATATATATTACTTGAGCGATTCAATTTCAAATTATTCGCAGAAATCACTATTTGCTATGAATTTGCTTAGAGTTTAAGATATCCCTATTAATTAGTATTCAAGACCTCATAGAAGCTGATATTCAATGCATACTTTGAAAAAAACATTGCGTTTGTCAACACCATGATTAAATGTCACATAACGGACATCGCCACCGTGAGGAAGCACAAGTGTTTGTAACTTTACTGGTTTGAATGCTAACAAGGTGTTCACTTTACATGCGGTGAACTCTGTCAGCTCGGCCATAAAATAATACGGACTATGCGAGAGTGTAGCAAAATCGCCGCCATACTCAGTCCGGCATTGTTGTGTTTCGTTCTGTGCACTTCATACTACAAGTGGTTTCTATTTATTTTCATTTAAGGGCTCATAATTTTGAGGCAACCAGTAGATGGAGTGACAGAAAAAAGGAAGCAGAAATACTACGACATAAATTAACAGTCCGCTGTATTTGAAACGATGCGCTAGCCACTAAAATTCTCGAGGAGTCAACAAAACATCTGAAAAGAACACTCCAAGTCTCTCTACTTCGTCATTGATGTTGGAGGGCTCCGAGGGCTGTAACAGTGGTCAGTATCTATGCCGCCTTTGAGCATCCATTGAATGGCTCGCCAACATTTGAACGTTCCGCTGTCACAGGAAGGGCGACATCCAGATGCCCAAGCTCTGCTGAAGACTGTAGGAAGCAAACACGATGGCTGCTGTCTGCAAGCGTCCCATCCCGGTAATGGCTGCAAGTTATGGGAAAAGCTAGATTAGAAACTATACTTGTCAAACACGTGAAAGCTTGCAAACCTCACTAGTGCAACGAACCTGAAGGGCAAGCAAAATTCACTTTGATATAATCATCACTTCTCTCAGCATTTCTGATGTCACTGCGTGTTTCTTCTTATTGTCCTGTTTAATTTGTGCTGCACTCTTGAAGTTTCTTGTGCCTATTATTACCCTTCACTTCAACATGCATATACTAGACTCTCGATAAATGCAAATCTGTTATATGGAACTGCTGCTTAACTGCTTCATTCCATCTATTTCACTACGATAGTAATAAGATGGCAAGATGAGGATGCACACCTCGACAGGCTTGCACCTGGGAGAAGAGGAAGAAGGTTGCGAGGAAGAGCTGTGACTGAAAACGGTCGCAGCCCCACAGGTTGGCTGGGAGAGCGAGCAGCTTGCCGTAGCTACCCAGTATCACCGCCCGTGCCAACAACGTCCTGCCAATGCACGAAATGCAGTCAAATGCCGACACACACCACTTTCAGCACACCAACACACATATAGTAGCTAGAGTACTGATCAAAAAACACACACGCACCACTCTTTGTGAGAAGCTGCAATGGAAAGCATTAGCGACAGCGAGTCCAGGTCTCTCGTGACATGAAGGTGGTGGAGCCGTCCTAGCAGCCACAGAGATACCTCGGCTCACTAACAAAGATAGAATTATAGCCGGACACTGCTTTTGGAGGTAGGAGTGGGCTTGCTAGGGTGGCTGCCAATCGCCTTCCTCACTAAAAGAGTGGTCCAACCCATGAGCCAGATAGAGGAGTCAGAGGCCATTCATCTCACATCATCAGTCTATAGTACCAGCTGATATTCACCCACCTTAGAGAAGGAATATCGGAAGCCATGCCTTCTAAAGCTATTCCCACCTGGAGCGAAAATAACAGATTACCAGTGCATACTACGCTCTCTCTAAATAAAGAGTTTCGCACTGTCACGCAGGATAAAAGGAGAGAATTACAGCAACCGACTACTTACTCAGTAGCTTCATAGCGACCGTCTGTTTCATGTCAACCAAAATTACATCTTGGTCATGTTTATTGGTAGATTGGAAGACTACACCCGAAAGCAAAAGTTTGTCGGACACAAAATGTCAGAGAGAACTATATTCTCGCTTTGTCTCAAAAAAATGTTAAAGACGCTTTTCAGCAGCAAGCGCTCACTCTTCAATTTCTTTCTTTTTAAACACTTCCCTTTGTGAGCATGAACTTGTTTTCAACTAAATACCTAAAAAACCTAAAATACCTAAAAAAACAATGCTCTTCTCTGAAGTACACAGAGTTATCTAAAAAAAGAGAGATTGCTGCAATCATTACACGAGAGCCCAACGAAGCTCATATATGTAGTAGCAAAATTGCAAACTCACCAGTCACAGAGGCAGCGCGCAGAAATCCTAGTGAGCAGGATGACGGCTGCAATGAAGACTGCATTACCTGGAACGACGACACAGTTAGGTCCTTAGCAATGGCTGACACAGGGATGAAGTTAATGCCTACACACTGAAAGTGACACAAACAAAATTACTTTGATCATTGCATCAGTAGTCATCCCAGACCTTTATTTTTTCAAAAACCAAGAATTTATTTCTTGATATGACTGGTTGATATATATTACTGTAGAGAATAAAACAAAAGGCAATGTACGAAAAAAAACTTTGTTATTTAATTTATCTCTGTTGGTTATGCAATAACAACTAGCCCAACAATCGATTCTTCTAATTATCTAACGCTTTCTTCGACAAGCATGGGCATCACGCAAAGAGACCCCGCAACACTTTTTCGAGTATCCACAGAACGGATTCGCTAAAGGAGCTTATTGCCTCACAAATTCACCACAGCAACACTTTTTTGAATCTGTCCAGTATGAGCAGAGTTACAGATTTATTGCATGACGCAATTGTATTCTCCTTTTTCTCGTTTCGACAAAAGCGCTGGAAGCTAAGCAGGGAGGGATGGCACAGGGCAAAAAAATGCGTCGCACGCGCTCGTGACCTTCACCATTTCTTCCCTTCTTTGTTTTTTCCAAGTAGGTAACTTTTAAGTGCAGCAGTGCGTGGACAAATCGCGGCCTCCCGTGGCGGCCCCAGTAACATCCAAGTGTGCTATGCTCAAATCAGCCAATGGTTGATACAATGGCAGTGACGAGGAATTTTCGAGCTTGTAGTGTCATTTGTCGCGAGACGAGAAAGCAGTTTTTAACCGAATTCAATAACTTATTGTGAATTGCAGGTCATGCTCTGTGCAATATTATTTGACTTGCATGTTTCAGGAGCCTGAACTACTGATTGGCAGCATTTTCTGACCACGCTCAAAAAGTGTTGCAGGTGGGAGGTAGTGGTGAACTATTCCATTGAAAAGAACTTTCGTTAATCAAGAGACTACTGTACACAGGTATTTTCGTAAATAATTTGCATGTTCCTCGAGCTTCACATGGACGTGGGGGGGGGCGGGGTTATAAATCCCTGGTTCTGTTAGTCAATGACACACGAAAGCAAGCATTGCCAGTGAAAAAAGTGTCGCTATGAACAGCCGCCTAAAATATAGCCGATGAATGTTAAAAAGAAACAAACAGCAACCTACTGGCAACCAGAAAGAGGCAGATGATGTAGAAGTGCCACTCCAGGTCGTAGCCCGCCTTGTGGGTCTGCTGTCTTGACATCCAGTGCTCCAGGGCTTCGCCGAGCAAGAATAGCAAGGCAATCTTCCAGGGCCTCTGTGTTGAAACAATTAAGAGAGCTTTTGGAAACCACGGTGCTAACACTGCTGGCAAAAAATTCTTGGGGTGATAGCGGATCAAACGCATTGACAAGTGGACATATCTTCTTCAATGTTGCACCTATGAAGACGGCATGTTCGGCTGACGAAGCATCGGTTACAGCACGCCCTACATTCAAGTATTTTCCAAATGTTCAAGCTTCTATCTGCCCCTGAACTTCTGCCTTTTCTGGAGTTACAGTGGTAACACTGGTGTCACCTGGTCACTTTTTATTGCAATCAAGCTTGACCTGGATTGTATTTCTTGAGTGTAACCAATGATGATGTTCATCGTTCAACAACTCGGATTGAGTTCGGGTAGGCTCAGTTTCACCAAGTGTCTTAGGTTGGTCTCACGGTGCAAGCAAAATACCTTAGCATTGTTTGTCCAAAGCCCTCACCATACTTTTGGGTTATGGAAAAAAATTTGTGTATTATTAAACCGTATCTTTGCCAAGACTATATAATTTTGGTTTCTATTATGCATCACAAAAATCAAATAATTGTTGCATGCTCATCAGAGACTGCAACTCTAAGAACAGAACAGGTCATGGCCACAGGTGCCAACTTGAAAAATGCACGTAAGTTTTGGATGTGATAGCAATCTCACAGCCTATCCATTCCGTCTATCTATTCTTATCAAATGCTGCTTTAAGGTATGTTTTTATTGAACTTGGTTGTTGTCACAAACGACTCCAATTTTCGAATCGTCCGCGGGCCCCATCTTCCAAAAAAGGGCGCTTTTGTGTTGTGAGGACAACATCCGGCGACTAACGACCCAGCGTGGCGCCGGCTCGTCTTCCTTGCACCTGTACCGAAAGGGGCGCAGGCGGTCTAAAAAAAGGAAATTGCACCCAAATGGGACGGGAGCACGCGTACGCCCCTGAAAAGGTTTGGACTGCATCGGAATAGGGAGTTGACAAATAGCCAGCAAGAAGTGCGGCCGTCGGTGTCGCGAGTCTCGCGTAAGCGGCGAGCATGGAGTGACCCGCGCAACGTATTGAGACGGCTGCAATACCGAACACCCTTGTCGTCTACCAAGCCGGCGAGACCTTTAGCGGCACCCGTCAACTCCCCTACGTGTACCGAGAGCTGGCCTGGTCTGTATAGAACTTTTTATTGTGGCTTTTTTTAAAATGTTAATTTATTATAACCAGCCTATTTTTAAATATTCGTAGTTGTGTGCGCTGTGTTGCACTTAGAAATTCAAAAGCGCCACCATGATCATTCTGTAATTATTTCCTTGTATCCCTCTTTTCTGATGTCCATCTTGTCATTATTATATTAACATTCCGCGTATTTGTCTTTGTTTGTAGCTGTTGTGGTGTTATTTTAGAACATAGTTTGTTTTATAGCAGTTCTTTTTCATCGCGTATCAGTTTTCTTCCTCTGTTATTTTTGTTAACACCTGCCTCTGCCCTTGTTTTAATTAAATACTTGTTTGTGTGTAATCAAATCTCCGTGTCTGCTCTATGAGTGCGTCAATCAGGCCCACACATCACCACATGTGCAACCCCGCACGGGTCGACCAACCTGCAAATAAATTTGAAATGTACCACTTCCGAGGCCTTTCAGGCGTTGAAGGCCGAAGCGTAAAGTGGAAGTCTGCGAGTCTGTCGCACGTCTATGTTGGATTTTACGGGGCCTCGCCCGAAGTGTGTGACAGTTGTTTTTGTTGTTTTTAAGATTTTCTAGCATATGTGGCTAATGAATGCAGACATTAGTCCAATTGCAGTCAAGCTCAATCACAAGCATGGATAATGACAACCTTCGAGTGGTCTCAAGTGCGATTAAATGTGTATGTATAGCAGCACTTCACTCAGATTGGGATCAACGGTCACCGCATGATTCCAATATGTGAAAGCGCGTCTTGCTGAGAATTTTCGCAGAATAATCAGACATTGCGGGACTCGTGTACTTACACCCATTCCTACGTTGAAGATGATGTGCCTGTATGCCTCCAGTTTTTGCAGCACTGCGTCGATCAGGACTATTGAAAACTCCATCTCGATGTACTCGTCAGCTATACGATTGCAGTGAGACTGCAAAGAAAATTAAAGGAGAGAGAAACCATAGAGAGAAAACATAAGGCAAAGCACAACAAATCGAGCATTAAATAAAAACACAGGCAACGAGATGCAGGCTCACAATAACGTAAGAGGTGCAGCATACATCCAGTTGCTTTTGTGTTTCATTAAAAAGGGGTCATTAACTACCCCTCTGGCTTGGTGAAAAAACACATCCTGAGAAAAGGAGACACCATTATGAACATGTCAGCCAAATCTTGCAGTTGTGTACAACAAGGAAAGTTTGGAAACAGAGCGCAAAGTCGCCATTTTTTCGGGTGCCCTCTTTTAATACAGGGAGCTGTGGTCACTCTCTGAGGAATTGCCAACACCTGTTTGAGGTCGAACAGCAGGTAGCATGCTATTGGCCAACAGCAGACATGAATCAATAGCAGCATTTGGCCAAGAGCTGTGGCGACTTGGTCGCACCATGCTCCATAGCCTGCCAATATTACAGCAGACCACACTTGCAGACTGGAATCACAATGGGGATGGGGGACAGCGATTGCCTTTTTATCACGTGCACGCAAGGTCGTGTGCATGCTGACGCAACTTCTTTTTCCTGTGCCATACCTCCCTTTGCAGCTTTCAAGGCACTCATCAGGATGTGAGACACACTAGAAAGCACAACAAAGCCCTGTAACCCTGCTTGCTTTGACAGATTTGAGAAATTTTAGCGGCAGTCGACCAGTGAGGCAATGAACTTGTATACTGGGGTCATTCGATAATTGTTTGGAAAAGCGATTCATGACCCCTTGAACATTTTGTTGTTCTTGGACGTGGGAAGTGTTCAGTGTAGTAAGTAATGGTTTGTAAGCATTTTAGCGGTCAGCATGGGAAGGACGAATGCCCATCAGAGTGCTTGACAGAGTGTTTACAATAATCTATATTTCTTTTTTCATATGTGCATATTGATGTACCCATTAGTTTACACAGCTTACTAGACGAAGTTGGATTTAGCTTGTTCGATGAAGTTAACGTTTCTTTTCGGACGACATTACATGTAACTTGCTGGACAAAGTTAACCTCTCTTTTTGGCCTAGTTAGATGTAACGCTAGACAAAGTTAACACCTCTTCTTAGACAAAGTGAAATATAACTAGCTAGACGAAGTGAACACTTCTTTCTAGACGATGTCAGGTTTAAATGCGATTTGTGTAATAGAACAGGTTCGTCGGATTTTTCCTCGCACCGTCTCATTTGAACAGTTTTGTTTTACATAGCTCAAAATATTCAGCGTATACTCACACATCTCGACAACTTCAGCAGGTCGGGACCGTAGCTCTTGTACAGTTGCTGCTGCGTCTCGCCGCAGTGAACACAGGCATAATTCGGCTTCATGGTCATGGAAACGCGTCTTTTTCGCACACACGGCACAGGACACACACTTCTATATGTCTCCCGCTCGTAGGCTATCTCTACGAAACTGCAAACAGCTTCAAGACCGGGTGACGCGGCTACACACGCGAAAGAAACACTGCTGCTTCTATTTACACTCGCTATTCACTTCCTGCGTTCAGTAGGAGCCGATGCGGCATATTTTCCTTTCTTTTTCCCTCTCTCGCTCGAAGAATCTCTACGAAACTCCAAACCGGGACAGGGCAGTGACTACAAACACCAAAGAACACGGCAGGTTGCACAGCTACTCGCTCCTCACTTCCTGCGTTCAGCAGGCGGCGATGTGTCGGTCTTGAAAGAGAGCCGTTCCTTGAGCTTCGCGAGCAGCGACTTCTCCTGTTCGGCTCCCTCGGCGGTGTGCAGGTTCTCGACGACCACCTTGGCGCACTCGGCCCTAGTGAGCCCCGTGGCCGAGGACACGGAGACCCTGGGGTACTGCTTGGCGTACCGATCTGAGGCGACGGCTCGGAGGCTCTCGAGTCGGCGGGTGCACAGTTCGGCGTCCGGCACCACGGTCTGCTCACTATGGCGAAACTCTTCGGCCACCCTACGCCGCACGTACTCGCCCAGGCATTTGCCGCTCCGCACGGGATCAGCGCGCCAGACGCTGCAGATTTTCATGTATTCGCGGTACAAGTTCGCCCCAGCCATTTGCGAACGAGGACATCGGCGTGAACGGACGTGAAAGTTGAGCTTGGACTGGATGAGCTTGGATTTGGCATTGGCTGCAAATGATAGCCGCTAGAACATTGTTATCTACAAAATAAAATGGCAATCTCTAAGGCCATGCTTTGACTAAGCAAGCACTTCGAATAACACCAGTGTTCCTTCATCAATGACGCAATACTACTTGCGGCTGAAGAATATTCACAAATGACGTAAAAGTGGCAATGCAAATTCGGTCGTGATCAAATGATCTCGAAAATGTGTGGCACGGTTCACTTTGCATGATTTGCTCAGGTTAAGCCCTTTGTTTCGGGCGCTCAATTATCCATTAAAACCTCACTTCCAATAAATGTGGTTACGATGTGTTAAGCGTGCAAGGTGTGATAAACGCGCTGTTGCATTGAGTTGCATACCATAGTGCAAAAGCGATGCAAGCGCGTGATCTCAAAGATTGGGCGTAACTCAATCTCTGAGGCCATAATTTGTTTGTAAAAGTCAATACATCCAAACATTCAAAAACTAATTTAAAAAATATATATTTTTTATTTCTTTGGTAGTATCAAAATTTGAAAAATTACGTTTCGACACTTTCACACGAGGCAAGTTTCTCAGAGTGTCCGCTAGGGAAGCAGCGACGTCGCAAGTGGGCGATTTGTGCCTGCGCGTTGTTTCGACGTCCGGCGTCGCGCGTGCGAGCGTGTGTACGCACAGGTGTCCGCGAAAAAAAAACAGCTGGGAAGTTGGCTCGTAGTCGTGTGCGTGCACGCGAGCACGCTGCAGCCGCCGCCGTCTGGCAAGTGTTCTTTACATTTCGCGCGCGAGAGCTGCCTCGCAACCGCACTTCGTCAGCGCCGAAGACGCGCAAGATATTTCACCGACTTCGGCCCGCCTGGAGTGTCACACCGCACCGCGCTCGACTTCTCCATGGCTTGCGTAGTCGCGAAGACTTCGGTCCCGTTTGCGCACTCCTAGGAACACGGCGGGCCCCTACGCAGACCGACAACACCGCCGGTCTCTTCCGGTTAAGCCTATCGCGAGATTTGACAGCCGACTTCGTGAAGCGTGGCCTGTGAGTGTGTGTGTGTTGGTGCGGTTGTGCGGCGTTTGCGCCTGTGTCACTTGGTTTTGGATACCGTGATTGTATTTTCGCCGTCCGTGTTGCTACGAGAGCCTGACACACTACCGCCGCTGAAAGTCTTGCCTGCCTTCATGACCTCCTGAAAATAAAAAAAAAAGGTGAGTGCAAAAAAATATCGCCACAAATATGTCTTTGGTGCGGTTTGTAATTTTATTCAAGCTAAGTAAACGTAAGCCCTCTTTAATCTCTAAATAAAGCGTGTTCAAATCTAACTGCTATTCGAAAGTGTTGTGGTCGGATTAATACAGCTGTCTGACATGCTCGTGCAATCGCACAATGATTGCAGAATTTCGCCGATGCATTAGTTGTTAGTTTATTTAATACACATTCTTGAAGTTGTCATCGGAGTGTTATGGTGCGCAGTCACAACCATTCCCCCAGAATGGGTATATGACGTAGTTTTTAGGATTAAATAAATCAGCTGCTCTTTTTTCGATCGAATCTTTGCGATGACGTGCTGGTCTCTGTCGCCTGCAAGTGTCAGATAACTCCTGCGCAAGAAATCTTATCCGTCGGAGTCCTCCAGCGTAGCTTTGGTCGCGCATCAAATTCAAAGACAACATTGGTGTGTTCGCAGTGGAACGCACACTTTTTGGAGCATCGAGTTTGAATGGAATCTTATCTCCGAAAGTGCATTCTGGGCGCGTGGTGAAAAACTAAACGTGGTTATTAGCAGCCCGACGAAAGTTTATGAACACTTTCAGGTTCGCGGTGGTTTCGTGCTGAATTTTCTTTTCACCCGTTCCGTATGTTTGGTTTCAGTTTAGGCATCGACTAGATGCCATGTGCGTGTTGTTTATTTCGAGAATCGCAGCAGTGGCGTGCTTCGTTTCGTGCATATCACTTCGCCGTTTGGGAATAGTGCTTTTTTAAACAGTAGCGGCGTTACCGTTAGGGAATGCCGGAGCCGTATATCCTCTGTGTAATATTTTAGTGACCTAGCACATAGGTAATGCCGTACCGTTGTGGTTCGCAGGTAGCTCTTACAACCCTTTTTGCGAATAGCTCACTGTATACGGCATAAAGTGATGCGACGATCATCGGGGTTAATGTAAACCACGATTTAATTTAAGGTAAACCACGATTTAATGACGAGGGACGCCGCAGGGGAGGGTTCGAGAAATTTCGACCGTTTGAAGTCGACCATTGAACTAGCATTTCGCCACCACCCGTGTGCGGCCGGGATTCGATCCCGCGACCTTCCGGTCGATGGCGGAGCACCAACCAACACAGGGGCAAAGTTGGTTAAAATAGATCTTGCACAGGGGTGTAGGCACAATTTTATTTTTTTCGGTGTGTGTACCCACTTGATCTGAAATTGGCGGCCGGACAGGCAGAGGTGGTCGAGTGGCTCTGTATGTCATGCAAAAAATATTTCTGGCGAGAAGGGGGAGCGGTGCGCCACACCCTGGGCTACGCTACTGGTCTTTCGGACCAAGTGAAGAGGCTTGTCCACCACGACGGTGAGGTATTACCGTACGGTAAAACCGGCGCTGCTAATACACCGTAATGCTTCGCCCCCCCCCCCCCCTGAAAAAAAAACAAAGAAAAACTGGAAAAGATGTTCTGCAATATTTTCAACTTCGAATTCTTAGCCGATCCCCCACAGTGTGTCCGTGCCGTAGATTAAGGGAAAAACAATCAAACAATTGTCCTGACGCGCCGCAACTTCATGCAGATAACGCGATAACTTTGTTTTGTTTTGTTTGATGCGTTTTGTGTTTGAAAGCGCCTTCGCAGTAATGGCCGAGCGAAACTGTGGTGTTAACTTCAAACAATCAAAAGAAACTTTTCTTCTCATCTCACAAACATGGGGATGAAAAAAGAAAAGAAAAAGTAACTTTAAAGGAAGTAACCAATGCGGGTACGTCAAGGGAGCGATAAAACACAGAAAATTGGTACACGCAGGAAAAAGTTTGCTTGGTCGATTCATCGTATGCGCGAAGCTTTAGGCGAAACGCTACTTACCCAACAACAACAACAACAACAAAAGTTCGATTTCCATTCGAATTATGGAACCGGGAATCATTCCGCCTTAAAAGACTTGGTGCGATCATTCGGCTCAAATAAGTTTATGAATATCCAGCTGTACCTTCATCAGCTTCCGGATGATATTCGTCAACTTAATCATTCGAGCTGAATTATAGTTCTTATAGCTGAATAATCTAACTGAAAGATTTTCCAGCTGGAAATGGTACTTTTTTTTCTTCTTCTGGGTAATGAAAAGAACGTCGCTGTATGCTGTAACAAGAGACTGTACAATTAAACCGAGAAAAAAAGCGTCTTCAAATCTTAGATGACTCGCAGTGATGTCACTCAAAGAAACAGCCTCATTGAAGCACCATTATGGTGGGACCACCATTATGGCATGCCGATTCTTTCGTTAATAATGCACAGAGGCCCAGTAACAATCAGGTGACCTTGTTATCACACTGACTGATTTGACGTCATACAAGTCGCCATGTTGGGCGTCCGTTTCGTCGGAATTTCGGTCTGTCTGTCGCACGAAACGAATCAGCCGCCCTGCGAAAGTTTAACGTCCAGCCTTCTTGAACTGGTGACTGCGTTCATGCTTGCGAACATTGTCGATCAGAAAGCACATATTGCGCATATCTGAGGCGCAACATCAATACGTAAGTATTGGGTGATGTGTTCCTTTACTTGAAAATACACAGATACATAGTTCCGAAGACTCCAGTGTTTCTTAGGCTGCGCTGAAAATGCGACGCCATGCACGAAAGGAGGCCGACAGAAGGCTATCGTCTTTCGGCGACTTTTGCAGGGAAGCTAGCAGATACGCGGTCAGTGTTTCAGCCTCTCATTTCAAGTCACGTCACAGACTACAGTTAGTTCAGTACACTCGCACACAATGCCGTCTATGCTTTCGCTCTCCGTGACCTAACTGCCGCTTCGATTCATTTTGTGGCATTGTGACTTGTTACATATAGAAAGTACGCGAGAAAGCGTTCAATCGAAGCGGACGGCCTTCGTCGAAAAGCCGCGATGTGTGAACTTAGTCGGCGGCCCGAGTGGGTCTCGCTTGGTTGCCCTGCGATGCCAGTGAGACCGGAATCTGGCTGGTATGTCCAGGCCTTTTTTCTTCTTCTTCGAACACGTAACCTTGGGGAAACTCGCTCGCTCCGTTGCAAAGTTATCTCGTAAGTAGTCTACGAGAAGTTGAATATGCGCGCTGGCTCGCGAGGTTTATCTTGTTTTGCATACTTGCGACGGCGGCGTTCTAAATATCGGTCGTCGGTCAGTCGTGCGCGGTTGTTTACTTAGGAGTTATGGGCACATCATGCAGCAGACGCCTGGCGGGAGCGAGGAGAGATGCTATTCGGTCATTCCAGCGACGCAGGCGCCGCCACGCAGCCGTGCTCCGAAGCTGTGACACGGTGGTAATCCGCGATGCAGTTCGGTCTCTCGGTTGTAATGAACCAACGAACGCGTCTTCACGCACGCGACAACACCGTCTCGTCCACCATTTTGACGTACCGTTGCGCCGCCTGTAGTCAGTCGCTGGAATGGTCCAAGTTTGGGATGAACGTGCTGTCATTGACGAAGTCACGGTAAAAAAATAAAACGGAGATACATTTTGGGGCCCGCACGGGTTGATACCTGACCAGACGAACTTTCGACTACGATAGCTGTTTCGTGCGTGAGATGAAATGTTGCCATAGGCGTGCGCCTAGGGGGGATGTTCAGAGGGTCGGCCACTAGTCACATAAGGGGGGGGGGGGTGGAGACAAACCTCCCCCTCCCTCTGCGCACGACTGCTTTATGTAGGTCTTGAATAATTGGGTGGAGGTTATATCAATATATGATCATGACTGGGGGAGGCCTTTCGTTTACTTCACAGAGGGCCACTCCAGTTGTGCCTGCGTCAAGCCCTTGAACG